TATATATATATATATATATACAATATATGTGTGTGTGTTTTATATATATATACACATATGCTTGTCACTTTCTCTTCTAGATACAAATTCACTAAAAAATGAGGAGCATCGATAACGTGATACTGAAACTTAAGAACGATTCACTTTATTCTATAACGTAATCAATACAAGGACTTCTTGCATTCGTAAGAGTTCGTTCATATTTATCGCTATCGGCTATCACGCATAATTTAAAAAGACGAAGGTTCGGTATTTTGTTTTTCCTTTTTTTCTTCTTTAAAGAAACAAAAAAAAGAAAAAATAAAACACAAGTATATCTCGAAGATAGCAACAAACGTGATGGTACGATAATAGGGATATGCGAATACCCGGACATATCGGGCACGAATCGGGTCGAATAAAGTAAGGCGGGTTCCAATGGGCACTTGAAACACATGGGCACTCGAGTAGTTTGATTATTTCGAGGCAAATTGGTAAAGATCAGGGCTCGAGTGAGTTTCTGTGATACCCAGCCAACTTCTAAATTTGTGAATTGTAAATTTCCAAATTTCTAAATCTGAAAATTTGATTATCTCTGATTTCATCTAAAAATACTCATACTACTTGAGTTCATATGTCTCAGGTCTCTGTCCGCGCTCATCTTTTTCCGAGCCAATAACTTAGGTACCCGACACATATGATTACCCGTACATCCCTATATGATACAGTGCGGTGTTATTTTTTCCGTTTCTCTCTCTCTCTCCCTTACTTTCTCTCGTTCTCACTCTCTCTTTTTTGCTTTCTACCTTCGTAGAATAATCGCAAAACGACTCAGTGACGACTATCGATTCTCACACTTGAAGAAAAAAAATTACATAAAGCGCGAGAAAGTAATTAAAAAAAAAAAGAAAACATTTTACTACACAACAAGGATGTTTTTGCTTACGCGCGTGTATATATACACTCCGGTCAAAATGTCCTTTTAATAGAAGCGTCATAAAACTCAACACTTACTTTTTCCTACGAGCTAGCCTACGAAGAGTCAGAGACACGTGAAACGAAAGAAAAAATTGAAATGTTCGTTTGAAAATATTGCAACACAGAAGAAAATGGTTAGAAACGGAGAATCGTTTCTCTTTCTGTCCACAATTGATCGAGTTAGGACGATAGTCGTCCCTCCGTCGAGGGGCCTTCGTTCTTGTTATCGGGTTGGCCTTTTAGACGTTTCATCGTACAATTATATTAGCACCAATATACAATAATATCTGTCGTGCATTTTTGTACGTACGATTTGTAACAAGGGCAAAAAAAGAAGAAACTCGAGAAAACCGACTGGACAAGTCCGACGCAACTAATTCTCTACTGGAACAACCAGTAGAGAATCAGATAAATACAAGGGTTCACTTTTTGCGGAGATTCGTGAACACATGGCGTAAATAATGATTTGCAATATAGTTTGAAACATATTTAATGAGGAATAATGCTGGTTATATTCACGTGAAATTGGACATAAACACACAGTACTACTTATACTTCATTGCATTATTTATGAATCAATAGACTAATATACTTAATAATTATTAGACTAATTGTTAACCTAGGATTGTGATCACCCATCAACGTCAGCCACTACCTAAACAACATTCCCTTTTTTTTCTTTTTGATATACGAACGAAACAGAAATATATATAAAATTTGTTTTTTTTTTCTATACCTCTCTCTCTTTCTCTCTCTCGCTCTCAATTCAAATCAGAATTCCCGATGAGACGTCTCAAACAGACTGACCGCACCAAGAATTCATTTAGTTTAAAAAAAACAAACATTTCATACGTAAATTTTGCATTTTTAAGTAAATTAATAAACATAATATAGAATGATAATAAACCGTAATAATCGTAGATAATAATAGGTAATAGTAGTAGTAAGCTGGCAGCAGTTAGAACCAAATATATTCTCGATTAAAACTCTCGCAAGACGACAATCTGACATGGCACTGACATTCAAATTTCGAAACATTCGTACACGTCGCACACACTCTAATTTCGGTTTATATTTTTTTTTAACCTATATCTTTTCGCTTGTTTCATCACTTCTCAAATTTTGTATTACCCCGTTTCTACGTTTTCGTTACCGTTTACAAACCAATTTTCATTCTCTCCCATATCCTTTTTACCCGTTAAACGCTTCTCTCATTCTTTCTTGTTCTTACACTCTTACTAGTTTCTTTCTCTCCCTCACTCTCTTTCACGCATATACATTTGTCCCTTCTCTTTCGTTCACGATCTCGCATTCACCCGTTTCGCCCCTCGACGTGCAATCAGCTGCCAGATAATTTATCTCGTTTTCTCCGTTTTATATTCTGTTTGTTTATATAGTTATATAACCATTTTCCCAACGACTACGCACTAAATAGTTCAAATTTTTTGCACTTTTTCACCAACAACAACTGGATTGTTGCGCCGAATTTCTTGAGCGCCCATTTCTCTATAATCAAATTTGCAATCATGCTTGTCACTGTATCGATGCACAGAGCAGAACAGTCCTCCACAACGGCACTCGAATCCTGTAAAAGTCGTAAACATCAAACAAACAGCCATTTGAAGGCATTAAATAAACAATGGTTCACTTACCCGTCAAACCAACTTTTTTGCGACACACGGCGCAACGATTTTTCTTCTTCTTAGTTTCTTTGTCAGTCTCTTTGCCATCAAAGCAGTCATCTGCATCCCCACTACTCACAGATCCTTCTGCTACTGCTCCGCTGCTAGCACTTACTTCACTTTCCTGATCTTCCCTATTTATCTGTGATAGAGACCAATTTTTCATTTAGAATTATAATATAATTTATGGGGATAATCCAATTGTAACAAATCATGTACTGATACACTGTAGCTGTATTAGTCATTAACATACATGACAAACTGGTTCATAAAAAATATGATGAATATCATTGGGCACAAAGAAATGTACAAGAAATAAAAGCAAAAAATAGAAAACACAGTTATTAACTAATTTAACAAGAACATTATATGACATGTATTATTTTTATTTAACTATTCAAAAACAACAAGTATATATAAAAAGCTAATGGTTAATGATTAAAATTAATATGTCATTAAAAAAATAAATTAGTTTGATGAACTTACTTCTTTGGGGTTGGGTAGATCAGTCGTTGGTTGAGGTATGGTAGGAATGGTAGGTTGGGCTGTAGTTCCTGTTGCTGCAGGACTACCAAAACCGCCTTGCAACGTACCAGCGTTACCAGAGACGGTCTGTGAAGGTGGTACAGTAGCAGCAGATACAGGAGGTTGCTGCTTCTTTTTTAGATTTTCTTTGTAACAAAGAGAACAAAGGCCATCTGTAGCTGGCGAGCCATAAAATCCACAGCCACTGCGGCAGAGAGCTTGCATTGGATTAGATTCCCGTTCCATTTTGTTTATTTATTCTGGTAGAATTTCAGTGATTGGACAAGTCCTTAATTTTTTTCCTATTTGCAATCACTTGAAAAGTTCCAAGTAGTTGCAATCAGCTAGATGGATAATTAAGCGTCTTTTGCCACAACTTGCTCTTCGGTTGCTCCGTCACGACCGCGTGTCACCATACATTCACCTATTAAAATCAGTAACATTTAACATTTATTTCCATTATCACAAATGAAAGTATGTATATGCAATGTCAAGTTTAAAATTGGAGTGAATTGATAGTTGATATTCTAAAGAACATTATAAATGCAGTAATATTTGTAAATGGTTTAAAAATAACAGAAATCATATGTAGAACAAAGCTTTAGCTGTTATGGGTTTACTCGACAATGAGCAAGCAAGATTTAAATTTAGCAAATGTTTTCATGCACAGATATTATCCTTTGTCAGATACAGTTTGTCACTTATTAAATTATAAAAATCGTATTTGAACGACCGGGTGGATCACGAAGAGCTTTAAAAGGAAACTTAGTAATCATTACACCAAAATGAGCACATCATATCAAACACAGATAGGTCGAGTATGTTCGAAGAATTTGAGAAAACTGAACACATGAATTTTCATGTCGAACTCGCACTCGCACACGCGCGCACTCGTCGAGGATTATACATAGGATAGAAATTGTCAGCGGCAGCAACGATATCTTGAGACAAGGGCCGTTCCCTCGTGTAAAACAGCTCTGTGGTGAAGAGAGAGGGAGCAATTCCTACAAGGGCAAATAAAATCGTGAAGTTAAGAACGAAGAGAAAACAATTGAACGAAAGAAGGAAAGAAAAAGGGGAAGACAAACGATCGGGGTTGGAATTACGAACGTATCGTTCGGACGATTCAATTTTTCTGGTTCCACGTAATAAAATTTCAATGATAGAGGCGTGATCGGGAAACGTGATATTACTCACTTTCCAACACGCAGTCGTGTCGCAACCAACGCACAACATGGAGTAAGAATTCGTTCGAAGCATTTAAGTGGGCTTCGTATATCCTTATCGCGACGTTAGACGACGTGCACATCGATAGTCCGACAGACCCGTCGGTTTACGAGGTCTTTCTTTCTTGGCTCGATCGTGAATCTCGGCGCAATTCGCCAGGCCACTGAATGCGCGCGTTTGGCTTTGTCCGTCGAGGCTCGGCAAGCTAAAACGAAACGTTACCAAATAGCTCTTGCTCCCTTTCTCTCTTTTTCTCTCTCGCTCTTTGTGTGCAACTTCGCGCTCGAGCGCTCGATATTACTTCAATCCAAGGAACCTGCAAGGACGGAGGAGAAACAACGATAACGACGACGACGACGACGACGGCCGAATGTTTTCACGATGGCGATCGTTTGGACGAAGCAGTCTTTGGGCGGACGTGCAACCAGCGACCGCGATATGCCACACAGTTGTCTCGCGATAAGGTTAGGTATCGTGAAGCATAATTTGCCGAGCCTCGCCTTTTACGCACGTAACTATACCTCACGAGAGAACCGTAGTAATTCGCGCAGCTCGACTGAGCTCAGGTGGCCCCCCCGCCACTTATGCTGCCCCACTATCATGAATTTCCCACTTCATCAGTCATGTACATGGTGAACAAAATATACTAATAGTAGGTAAAGGTGACGTAATCTAACATAAAACCTAATGCAACTTGCTACAGAATTGTAACATTCGAATCGAATTATTTAAAAATTTCAACTTGAAGAATTAAATTTGAATGATGAAATTAAAACAAAAATACATCGTACTCTGCCGCAGTTATTAATGATACTACCGATATAATATTAAATATCAATAATGTATCGATAGTATTAATAATCAATTATTAGTAGCACCTTCGGTAACAGGCATACAAAATAAAAGATCACTGGGTTTATATTCTCAGCGTTAGGAACGTCGTAAAGGCGCTTGCGCGTTACTGTTGGTTACGAAGCATGTTAGAACCAATCAGAACAGACCTGCGTAGTACGAACGAAAACTCGTCGTTCGACACTACGGTTCTTTTGTGAACTAAAGTATACTCGTAAATTAGTAATCCGTATAACCTTTCCTACTTTTTTTCAATAACGTCATTATTTTTCTCCACTATGATGCATGTAATAAAGACACAATGAATAAATAAAATATACCGCCAATTTTACTTGAATTTTCCACTTGTTTTCTTTCCTTTATCTCTTTCTTTCTTAAATACGTACTTGTTACGCGACTTACTCGTTTTCTTTCATCTCCCTGCGCCTGCGCGTACGCACAATTATTCTTTCTACATTATAATCATCCTCTTCACGATTTTCTCCTGGCTCCAATGATCAGTATGTTTTTTTCGGAAACAGAAAATTAACACGCACTAGTCTGCTCGATCTTGCAACACACTCTGATAATACTCCAACGAGGAACATTACATGACGATACGTTTTACTGTATTTCTTAAACGAATCAGTAGATGTCGTAGCACGAATCCTCGATGTATCTCTCGATGCTACGTAACATAATAAGACTAAAACTACATGTTGTTTGATGTACACCGACAAATGTGAAATGAAAGGACAGGAAAAAGGCCACTTTCTTTGTTCCTCGCTTTTGTTTAACGTTTAAACGCGCAGGTTTGTTCGATATCGATAATCGACTAATGATCGAAGCAAATAAATGTGCATTAAATTCGATTTGTATATACGCGCATTTCTCTTTCGATCAAATTTACATCCCGCGCCTTTCTAAACTTCAGGGAGCGTTTTCACTTTCACACTATCTGAAAAATCTAGCTTTACACGGTACACAATAAGTCGTTAAATAATAAAATTAAGAATGATATAAATTATAGCGTGTACAATTATATCGTTTGTTTCAGAAGTATTTCACTGTTGAATTTTTGATGAAAACCCTGTTCAAACCTGTTGCTTCGAAAGCTTCAAATGAAACGCAAAGAAAGAGCGCATCCGTTTCTCATGACAAATATTCGGATACGATAAATAACGATTAGTAACGTGTTTCGGTGAAAACTTGCCATAGTGAAAGGGTTAAAGCACGAAAGGAACGGGATTTAAATCCGTTATTTCTTCGGAACACGTGACGTCACTATAGTAATTGAGAACCGAATCAAATGTGAATCACGTGGTAGGAAGTTGCGAAAAAAATAAGATAAGTAAAGCAGAAATGAAAACTCATTTAATTACGTTCAATGTTGAAATACAAAATATCAATTTTATGCTTAATCATTTCGAAACGAGTACGTTAAATGACAACTTTATTATTTTATATTTTTTACAGAATTACTGTGGAAAAGTGTTCGATGTGAAATATATGTGAAAGAGATCGAAAAACTTGACACGTTATCGACATACAGTCGAAAATGTGTTCTTGAGCTCTAATATTAGTTGTCCGCTGAATTTCAATCGTGCAATAAACGTCGAAGAGATAGCTAGCGTGTATCAAAATTAACAACGAAATCACATGACGTAAGAATTGTTCTTTATAGCATAAATAAATAGTATTTCTTATTTCGCAATATTTACGTGCCAAAAATATTGAAATTAACAACGAATTATTAACTTTTCAGTTATTTCAGTTTTTATTAAATGTACTTGGAGTGTTTCGAACATAGATGGTTCTCGCATCAGGGTTATCAAGTGTTTAACTTATTTACGATTAAATTAGATACACGCGAGCGTGAATGATCTAAAAATTTCATTTCCGCTATGTAATAAAAAAGCCATCTAATGTTTTCGAATATTCTCGTGTGTTCAAAATGTATTTTTTATTGACAAAATAAGTGCGTTAAACGATTTAACACTGTTAATTATTTCAGGAGAATTACGAAGTTCAATCGATCACTATTTTTAACACCGCAAAACGTAAGCACCACCCAACCACGTTTACAATGCGAACAATTACAGTAACGCATAAATAAATACGATGCCATGTATTTAATTAAAAACACTAGATTAAAGGAAAGTTTGTGTTACAGAGTAAATGGAATGGAAATACTTTCTAACGGAAAGTGAATATTATGGAATCTTGTTATATGGCCATGAATGAAATAGCAGGAGTATAAAATTTGGAATAATAAATTAGTAATCTTAAATAAGAGGGGAGCCATATAAAGAGAGCCACATTGTGACTACCTGATTCAACAGCGCAAACAAAAGCGCGAATCAGCCGTTGTTTCCTAATAACTCAACAATTTTAATGCGAATTTGTTTACACTCGACTTATTCAGCATGGTGAACAATGACGCGTTCGTACTTTCCGTTTTACTTATCTGGGAGCTTTTGTTTGGAATAAGGAAACATGTTTTGTACATGGCCGATGTTTTTCTATGCTGTGTCAAAGCTCGAACAATGAAACTGACCGTTGCCACTATTCGAAAACAAATAGTTACTATGTACAGTACTAAAATTTCATTACGTTTCCGATACTTAAAGCTGTGACGAAGAGTATCGATCAGTCGAATAAATCTACACAGGATCAAGTTTAGTAATGTTGCGCAATTTTATGTAATTAAAATAATTGCTTTAGTAGTAATAGTATTTAAAATTTGATTCCCAGAATTCCGCCATGATGGCGCGCAAAAATCGAGGATCGAGTATCGATAATAGATCGAGCAATTCAGTTCGTAATAATTTTAAGAAGTGCTAAAACAGGTATGTAACGGATATCGTGAAAGTAATTATAAATGACTGTATTGAATTTGTTATTCAGTTTTTGAGAACCTTCGTACTATGATAACAAGTATAACCTTCATGAACAAAATTGTGGAATTATCTTTTACGTCGTATATTATCTGTGTGAAAGTATTTAGATAATTTTGTACAAGTACGTATAACTTTGTAGCAGTAAGAAAGAACGGCTCGAAGTTATATTTATAATTGTATTTCAGTTATCACGCAGCTATAGTCCACTCATTGTTCTTACGAAACGAAATTCGACGCCACACTCTAATAACACGTGGTAGGAATAACTGAAAAAGTATTTCGAAGACATATGCGTATTTAGTTCTTGGTTTCAAAATCACATTCGTTGGAATACTGGTGAGTATAATTGTACGCTCTAAAATGATATAGTGAAAAAATTTAAACGACTGGTCGATTTACGCAGAAATAACAACGCTTGAACATTACCATTCCCCCTAGGGAAGCCTACGATGCTCGCCAAGTATATATACACGTTGTCAACGATAGACAATGAACATATATTACACGATGAGCGACAGACGATACTATTATTTCGCTTATAATTCGACGTGCAGCCATTTTATAATATCATTCGCAGCAAAAGAAAGCGAGGTGTGGCTCGTTCTAATCTACACCGGACACACAGCATCAACCTGCTAATCGCTTCTATCATGAACGCTCTGTTTGAAAGGCAACATAGGACGGAACCTGTCAGTTTTATTTAGATCGCTGTCAGTAATTTCACGCCGTTAGAAAATAACACAGCAGTCATAATAATCTATCGAATAAGTTATCATGAATCGCTCGATCTTCATAACCTCGTGAATAGATGTATCAACATCTCGATAGACACGATCATCTCTTTACCTATCGAGAGACAGCATCGCACTGAGTGTACGAGACGCAGAAAACGCTTAAAAGCTCCTGTCACGTTATGCATCTGTTCCGTGAACGTAGACGCAATTAACAACGAGCTCAAAACGCCTCGAACCACCACCCACTTGACACGTATGATGAAAGTTTTTAGATTATTTCGAATGTTCCATAATGATAAGAAGTTTAGAAAATCTGACGACGTCATTTGAACGAGCCTCGTATGCTTGCAGAACATTTCACAACTTTAATTGACGATCCTATTGCATTTGTAACATTAGCTCAAAGAACAATAGAGGTAAAATCCAATTAATTCTTCATAGATCTTCATTTGCAAATATTTTTCATTAATTCGATTAATATTTCCAGTGATTCCTACTTTTGCATAACCAAATTAGTTGAGAACTGACGAAAGAGAGGGAATTAGAATAGCTATCTCTACAGTAACGAGCAAGGTAGGCTTCCCTAGGGAAAATGGCGATGTAAGAAAAAAATACCTTATCATTCATTACAATGGAAGACTCCTTATACTTCAAAAATTTATGAATTTTGTTTCTGAATTTACAAATATCCAAAGATCTATAATCTTGATAATTTCTAGATTTCTAACATCTATGCATAAATGATAGCTCTTCCTTTTCTTATATCACCATTTTCCTTACAAAATACTACCGTGCTCGTTAATTCCCTATGTCTTCTTCCCCTCCACGTTATTTCCCTAGAAGAAACCTACAATACTCCCTGCTGTCTAGTCCAGGAATACGCGAAGGGCCAAAGTGAATAGAGGGAGAGACAGATAGAGAGAGGAGAGAGGGGATTTAAGACCAGTGCGGATGTGGGTGCACGGAAGGGGGTATAAAAACCGCGACGGGGGAGGGGAACAGGGAGGATAAATGCATAAGTGTGCATTTGCGCTTGAATCGTATCGGCGCTGCCGTCGTGCACACATGCAGTCAAAGAGTAAGAAGAAACGGAACGGACACTAGAGACATGGCTTCTATCCTTGAGAGTATGCACACAGAAATTGCGTCGTTCCCTTTGTTCCACCTAATGCGTATTCCACGTTGCACGGACATCTTTTTCATCAAGAGAAACGCTCTAAAGCAACGAGAGAAGGGACAGAAACGAGAGGGAACGAACGACGGGGACAAACAAGATTTCCAAAGGCGAGGCGAGGCGAAGAAAGCATTAAATCGAGCCGCTTGCTTATGTACACGAATTTCACGGGTATTCGATAAAAATAGTCATCGAAGACGAGGCAGGATAGCACGATTGCGACACTTACCAAGAGCTGTTGCGGTGTAGCAGGGCGCAATATGTCAGCTGACTTGACGTGTGACCGATTGTGATTCTGCACCAGTATCCGACATAATTCTCAGACCAGCATCAAACCCTTGGTTATAAATCCAGTCGATTCCAGCTGCTGCCGCTCGGCCCGCACTCTCACAAAACACAGATATCGGTTATCTAGCAAACTGGTCCTTACACCGAACTTCCGATTGCGAGACAAACCGACCAAACCTACGGACACGGGAACAAATACTGCCGATGACTGGTGTAAAGTTAGATCTCTTACCCTCCCCCACTCTGCACTAAGTACTCGGAACCAGGGTCGACAAGTTCAAATGGGAACTGTGTTCAATTGAAATGAAAATAACTTTTCCCGCCAGGTGGCGACATCATTATCGGAAAAGTCATTCCATGTAATCTAGAAAATAGTTGTTTAATGACATAAGTTTTCATGTAAAATTGAATGTTATATTTTTTTAATTTTTTATTAAACATCAAGTTTATTGTAAATTATTAACTTCATCTTTCTACATAAATGCTACAATAAATTTGAATCGAAATAACAGAAAAACATTTCTTTTACTTTTCAAACTCCACCAATTGAAAATGAATTTCATGGGAAGGCGTATTATGATTGGCAAATACTGGGAAGTACCTTCATTTACTAACCTGGCGGTATACATCACGTTTGCCGCTCAAATTGGTTAGTTTACCTGTTTGAACGTTAGTGAGCTTTTTTTAACGTCAAATGCAAATTGATGCAATATTGTTTCAACAAATATATCTGAAAAAAAATGATTGGACGAAATATTTGCTCAATCATAAAATTTAAAACGACAGCAAATTTATAGCATGATGCTTTGAATTCGCAAAACATATGTAAAATAAAAGGTTTACACGAAAGTGTGGATGATATAACCACGTTAATTGTTCTTTATAATTTACGGAATTCTGAGAGAAAATGAATACCCCGCAATCGAATAAAAAAAAAGGTAGAAGTAGAATTGGTATCAATCATGGAAGCAATAGTCCCGCGAATACTGAAACATTAAGTTCACAAGAGTCTTCAAAGTTTGTTTTGGTAAGAAATAAACTCTGCCTATGATTATAAATCTTTTTCCAAATGCAAGTTAGTTATGAGAATTTAGTTTGTGTCACTATACATTACTTGATTTCAAGGTAAATCCAATTGGCGAAGACGCAAACAAAACTTTTAAGATTGGGATCACTGATTCTATTCCTATCATTTCCTTAGAAGGAAATAGTTTTGATGAAAAGAACACTCAGAAAGGTCATAATATATCATCAGACAAAGATAAAGAAGAAAAGAATATTCTGAGTAGTTTACCCGTTGCTATGGTTAAGGAAATAAATGGGTATGAAGAGCAATTAGGAGAAGCTGAACCACTTCCAAATTCGTATATCAGATTTATGGAACGTAGTGGCGAAGAACTTGACGGTATATAATTTCATTAAATGTATCTATTTTAATTGAAACGATATCTCAGTATGTTCATAATTTTCATAAAGTTTTATGTAAAGATAATTTTGATTTATAGGTGAAGTGGAATATGACCTAGATGAAGAAGACACTGCATGGCTATCCATAGTAAATGAGAGACGGTTGGCCTCTGGACTTACTCCTCCTTTGGAACCAGATACATTTGAATTATTGATGGACAGACTGGAAAAGGAATCATATTTCCAACAACAAAGTAATGGTGGAGGAGGAGTAGCAGCTGATGAAGATGCTGTATGTTGCATCTGTATGGATGGAGAATGTCAAAACAGCAATGCCATACTGTTCTGTGATATGTGCAATCTTGCAGTTCATCAGGATTGTTATGGTGTACCATATATCCCTGAAGGACAATGGTTATGTAGAAGATGTTTGCAAAGTCCTTCACGAGCCGTTGATTGTGTGTTATGTCCAAATAGGGGTGGTGCTTTTAAACAAACTGACCGTCCAGCTACGTGGGCTCATGTTGTGTGTGCTTTGTGGATACCAGAAGTAAGATTTGCCAACACTGTGTTTCTGGAACCTATAGATAGTATAGAAAGTATTCCAGCTGCACGGTGGAGACTCACTTGTTGCGTGTGTAAACGTAGAGGATTGGGTGCTTGTATTCAGTGTCACAAAAGTAATTGTTATGCTGCATTTCATGTGACGTGTGCACAACAAGCTGGCCTGTGTATGCGTATGAGGACAGTACAGCCTGCAAATGGAGAGCCTATGTTAGTTCAAAAAACAGCTTATTGCGAAGCACATACTCCTCCTGATTACCAACCTTCCACTAATCCTGCAGATGCAAGGAGGAGAGCAATTGCCAATAAGAAAAGTTCTTCTGCTCCTGTTATCTCTATACCAACTATACCACCAGAACGTATTAAAGAAATTGCTAGGTAATAATTGTAAAGCTATTGTATGTTACAAATGCATAGAGAAGCTTATTTATTTTATTAATATTTTCTGATATTAATTAGCTTAGCTGAAGGATTGCCTAAACGAAGTCAACTAATTCAGCGTCTTATAGCATACTGGACTCTAAAACGCCAATACAGAAATGGTGTTCCTCTTCTTAGAAGACTTCAAAGTTCGCATCCGCAATCCAGACCACCGCCTCTCGGAGAAAATTCCTCTCCAGCGCCAGATAGCGAACTACGTGGAGAACTATATCGTCAGTTAAAATATTGGCAATGTCTGCGGCAAGATCTCGAACGGGCTCGATTACTTTGTGAATTAGTACGCAAACGTGAAAAGTTAAAAAAAGAGTTGTTTAAAGTGTAAGATTTTAAAGTAAATTTCCCAACATTAAAGTTTGAGCGAGTACTTAAAGATCTAATTTGTTTTATAGAAAGGAAAAATGTTTATGGTTCGAATTACGTCCACTAGAAAGTGTTCTTCGTACATTACTGGAGGCGATTAAAGCAAAAGATGTAAACGATGTATTTGGTCAACCGGTAAATACTAAAGAAGTTCCCGATTACTTGGAAATCGTATCACATCCTATGGATCTTTCCACTATGCAGGTAATTAATTCTTCTACAATCATCTAAATCAAAAATATATTATTTTTACTTTCATGTTACGAATGTTCTGTTAGGCCAAACTCGAAAGACAGGAGTACGATACTATAGGAGCTTTTGAAGCAGACTTTAATCTAATGGTAAATAATTGTCTAGCGTACAATCGTAAAGATACAATGTTCTATCGCGCTGGAACTAAGATGAAAGAGCAAGGCGGTGCTCTGATAGAACAAGCTCGCAAAGACTATCCTGAATTGGACCCTATCAATGATTCCGAGCAAACAGGATCTAAGTCTAGAAAAAGAGATCGTGCTAACCGAAATCGTGTAGAGTCAGAGTTGCAATCTGGAGAAAAAGAAATAGGAGGGGGTGGTGTAAATAGAAGGACGGCTGTTCTTTTTACTCGTAAAGCAAGAGAACGTGCTAGTAGAAGTAATCAAACATTTGCCTTGGAGGACGATAAAAAGAAGCAAAGTGATAGTTTCAAAGTATACAGGTACATGTTCTTTTTTGTCTTATTTAATATGCGTACTTCTAAAGTAATGTATCGCTAATTATTGCAGAAGTGGAACTATGGATAGCGACGTGGGAGAAGGTGAAAGTCAGTCATCGAGTTGCAGTAGCTGTTCGACGAGTAGATCTACTACACCAGATTTGGAGGAAGAAAAACAAAGGCAAGAAGCGGACGAGGCAAAGAAAGAGCTTGAAAGTAAACAAGAAGCAGCTAGTAATGGGCTGGAAGCGCTGCAGCTTGTCTGGGCAAAATGCCGTGGTTATCCGTGGTATCCAGCTTTAATAATAGACCCTAATACACCCAGGGGCACTGTGCACAAGGGTGTACCGATACCAGCCCCACCCGATGATGTGTTAGCCCTTGCCGTTAATTACAAAGAACCAGTATTTCTTGTTCTCTTCTTCGATACCAAACGAACATGGTAATTTTATTTCGTCGGGATTCTATTCCGTTCTTTTATTTCTATAGAGTAACAATAGATATGCTTCACATAAACATTGTTACAGGCAATGGTTACCAGGGGAGAAATTAGAAAAACTTGGGGTCTCCCAAGAATTAGATGAAGCAAAGTTAATAGAGTCTCGAAAACCCGCCGATCGAAAAGCTGTAAAGAAAGCGTATCAGGAAGCGCTTCATTATCGCAAACAAACTCACAACACAACGTTAAACGCTGGCTCAGCTAGCTAATCTTTATGATTCTCTGATAAGGCACTACGAATAGTTAAGTAGTTCTCTTAAAAATGTTTGTAAGTATGTAAAAAGAATTCTAACGTATGAATGTAATTTATAGACTTATGTAAGTCACGTCTTTTTCAGAAAATTATTTATATTTTTAAATAACGACTGAAATACAAATAAAACGAATCAGTCTTTATACAAAATTCGTGTTTTGTCATTTTATTTAATTTTCTTCAAAGTACCGTTCAACACATGCATAATAACACATGTATATATTTTTATGCTTTTTTCAGCTTATACATTTATAACAAAAATATATCATTCTTCGTGGTTCGGTACAGGGTTAATATTATTCCATTCTTTCAGACAAGTTCACGTTCTTTTTTACGTATTCGTTAAGTTCCTTCGCGTATAGGTCCAATCTTTGAGTCATCTGAAAATGAACACAGATGTAGAGAGGAGCAAAGGAAAGGTGTTAAATTAGCAGAAAGATATACTTACTCTCAGACACCAGAAGTCCTTCACCTGGCGACACAAGTTCAAGTCTAATTCACAGATCAAAAGGCCATCTTTAGAGCGACTTAAACCAGGAGTTCTGGTTCCATCAGGAGCTGTGATGTAGCTGGATCCGTAGAAGTGTCCAAAGTCATGATGCGCTGGAGCTCCGTCTCCTGATGTAAATTCGTTGGGGAATATTTCAGTTCCTACACGGTTGATGGCACAGGTATAATAACTGTTGGCAATAGCTGCGTTTCTTGCTTCGATGGACCACAGTGGCTCGGATGTATGGCTGGTTGTTGCTGATGGGTTGAAGACGATCTGAAAGTATGAAATTCGTAATTGTATGTATTACGCATTTGAACTTATTAGAAAGCTTAACCAAAATTTTACCTCAGCACCGTTCAGGCCAAACATCATCCAGTTTTGTGGATGATGTCTTCCATAGCAGACGTTGATAGCGATACGTCCGAAAGAAGTGTCGAAAACTGGGTGTCCCGTATTTCCTTCCATGTAGTAGGTGGACTCGTTGAAGTCGCCTACGCGAGGAATGTGGTTCTTTCTGTGCTTTCCAAGTATCTTTCCATCTGCGTCGATTACCACGGAGGTATTCCATAAGGTATCACCGTTTGCGCTATCTCTCTCCAGAATTGGGCAAACAATTACCATTCCATGTCGTTGAGCAAGTTCGCACATGAGTATTATTGTTGGACCATTTTCAGCATCCTCTGCCAGTTCACACCATGGGTACTTTTCTCGGGTGCAGAATGCAAATGGCATAGCTGCAATTTGGAATAAATTCTTTGAAAATAATTTTTATATACACATTTCTAAAATAAGTTTGATCCTTCATGAAACAATCTCTATGATCTTTATTTACCATGACAAATTCTGTATTATCTATATTGAAGGAATACTATTCATCTTATTTAGAATTGATCACAAGAACCAACTGTATCTTATCTAATCTTCTGAAACTAATTTAAGACCAGCATTACACAATTGTGCCTGGAATTATGAGACTGAGGTGCAAATAATTTTGGTAACTGCAACATTATCTGAATCTTTTGTGCAATCTGTTATTTAAATAATTTAATATTTTGTATATAGATACATACCCCAAGCCTCTTGGAGGCCAAGAACGTTAACACCGCAAGTGGCAGCGTAGTCGACATATTTCTGGATTTTTAAATGCAGAGCGTTTCTCTGCTTCTGTAAAGGCTCTGTTGTGGGCAGCACTATAGAGTTTTGAATCAAACCCACACGAACGACTCGTGGAGGACGCAACTGTTCCGTGACCATTCCGCCCATTACATATCCTTGAACATCAAGCTCCTGGTTGCCAGTCCATTTAGGAAGATTTAGAGGCCTAATAATAGATTATTCAATTATTTAAATGTATGCAATATTTACACGTAGCAAACGCGTTTCGGTGATTCAATCGAAATATATTTTCTTCCAAATTATTTCAACATACATTAACTTTGCAAAGTATATGAAAAAGGAAGTATAAATCTTACTGTAATTCGCGGCCATATAACAGACGCTTTACTTCAGCCAGTTCCTTGTCCGGCAAATTCTTCTCCAGAATTTCTTCGAGAGTCTGGTCGAACATCGGCTTACTCATTTTGTTGTAGAGAAAGTTTTGTTTCTAAGGTTATAATTAAACTGTTGCGCTCGTATCCACGCTGTACCGCTGACTCGAGAGAATTGCTCGGAGCCGCGAATTTCCGTGATATATAGCGATCGCGTATGTAAACATGTGTCAGTGCAATGTTCGTTAATCTTTATCAATGAACATTTTTTCATGATATCAATTAGTTACTGTTCATCGGCTATCATATATTATCACCCGAAAATGACGGAGAAAACTTTCTATCCAAAAATAACCTATCATTCGAATTATCTCATTAAAACAGACAATTAATTATTACCGAATGCAAATATATTCCTTTTTTTCATTTGCCACGTGTAGGATCATCGACACTCCATATCTCTTGACGTGTTAATATAGTTTTGAACTCGATTAATCTGAAATCATAATAATAATAATTTAATTACGCAAAAACAGTAAATATTATAAACATGTCTTTACATTGATTACAAATAAAAAGCTATCGCTTACGAAGATTATATAACTGATATGTATAACTATTTTCCTAAGTATTTTAATAATTGTCGGTAAGATTAATAACAGCATTGTCTTATTGATTCCTTTGCATCTTGCTGAAAAATCTGCATACCACTAAAAATAAGGGGATCATATTTAGATGTCTGTCAAAAATTTTCCATTAATATTAATGCAATATTTCTTTCCAGTAATCTCCCGCTTCACACTCCATTATTACAGAAAATATTTACACAAGCTGAAAACTAACGATAATTATAATCACGTTATCAGAACGTCTTGTTACCCGTCATTCGTATCTCACATTCATTGCAGCTAACTTGTTTGTACTACCGTAAAACAATAAGTTTAACTGTAATTAATTTTTGCACGTATTGGTATTCGATTTTAAATTTCGAGTCTTCGCTCTTTTTTCACGTTAATCAAGTATCGATTGTCATTGCATTTGTTATCGAAAGCGATAGTAGTATCGATATTAATCGAAGCTAGTTTACAAAAGCATGTAAACAAGGAGAGGACATTTAAAAACTTTGAGGAAAATAAACTTTTTGTTATTGTAATAAATAAAACATTTAATTGTTTGTAACAATAATTATATTTTATTAGAAATAATGTGTAATATAATTTAGAAAACTAACATTTGGATCTATTTTATTTTTAGGTTAATCCGAGTTAACCTAAATATTGCTACTCTACAGTAACAAGAAGATATAAAATTGAACTCAATTGTTTATAAGTAATTACAACCATGGCGTTAAATAGAGAAAGGCGTTCAAATGCCGGAAATAAAATGGCAAAATTGTTAAATGAGGAGGAGGAGGATGATTTCTATAAAACAACTTACGGTGGATTTGATGAAGTTGAACAGGATAATGATTACATGTTAATATCTTAATTACAAAACATATATGAAAATTTTATTAATACTTCTATTAATAATAATGACTTGTATTAATACAGGGAAGAAGATGAAGCAGAAGATGAAGTAGATTCAGACTTTAGCATAGATGAAAACGATGAACCTATTTCTGATACGGAACAGGAAGGGCCCAAGAAAAAACGTAGACTGGTAACAAAAGCTTATAAAGAACCTAAAGTTCAATCCCAGTCAGTATCAAAAGAAAAAAAAGTTAGGCAACCAAGACAAAAAATATTCATTGAAAGTATAGGTAACTATACACATATATCTGTTCATAATTATTACATAGTACAGCTGCAGATAAAGCTTCAATCATTTTTAGAGAGGAAATCAATACGTCGTTCTACTGCTGCAAAGTCAGCTGCTACACAGAGAAGATTACGAGAAAGGAATGAAGACCAGAAAAGGAAAACAAGAACCAAGAGATATGACACATGGAAACCGACTCAGGAAGAGTTATTGGAGGAGGCATTACAAACTGAACAGATTAATATGAAATCATTAGGTAACAAGACATTCGTCTTTAATGCATTGGAGATTTAAACTGTTCTTCATTTATTTATATGAATTATAGAAAAGTATCAGAAATTAGAAAATGAAAAGAAGAACACTAGGACAGTAAGGAAAGCACAAACAGGACCTATGATTAGGTATCAGTCTTTAGCAATGCCTGTTATGGTGCTCTCTGAAATAAATGTTAACAAAGAAGAAGATAAGATTAATATTGATGGGGATGATGAGAAAATTACAAATGAAAATGCCGAAAACGAGGATACGGATGAAACAATGCAAGACAGGTGAAGTATAGTTTTTCTATAATTAAATTCAAAATAAATTTATTTTTCCGGTTTCAGTGATGTGATCGTGAAATCTGAAAATGATATAAAGGAAGTTCCAAAAAAGGATTCTTTACCTAGAAGTAAATGTCGCTATGAACAAACAAAAGGATATTACGAAAGAACGTTTATAACTTTTGAGAATGAACAGCTGTTTTCAGAAGCTTTCAAAAAACCTGTGCTTCAGAGACCACCCGTGAAAGCTTTATGCGCCATAACGAGGTGAAGAATTGCACCTTTTAAAGTGCATCTCATTGACTTCTTATTTCTAACAAATTCAAATCGTTGCAGGCTTCCGGCAAAATATCTGGATCCCATGACTCAGTTGCCGTATAAAAATATTCAAACGTTCAGATTATTACGCGAGGCGTATTATCAACAATTAGAAGCCAGGACGGATATTAATGATACATCACAAAGTCCTGAGTTGTTAAGATGGCTTGAATGGAGACAGAAAAATTGTGGTAGCGCTCAGAGAAGTACTGTACGTCTTGAACCAGCCTCTGCAGCAATGCCTTCATAGTTCCTCTTCTTAACTATAATATAAAATAATGTTTGTAGCTATGCTTTCATGGTTTTTAACTTTTATTTTTTATAAATTAATGCGGTTTTAAACATAAAATAAGTATGAACAATTTCACTTTCATTTATCATAAAATTGCACGTTCATAATTTAAATAATTCAAACAAATTTATAGCGTCAAAAGTATATTGTAAAAAATAATGAACAGTTATGTTAAGTATGTTAAAAATTGTAAATAGTTGTAATTTATTAGCATGTACGTCTTTCAAATTATATTGTATAGGAATTTTGAAATTCTCTAAGTCTTAAAAACATGACAGTGTTTCAGTATAATGTTGTATAAAGCTGTTACTGAATTTTTGTATGTCTTGTATAAAAATAAGTATATTCATAATCTTCGTTTCAGTGATATTAAAACGACAGACGACATATGATAATCAAACGCGAAAATATTTTATTTTCAGTCACCTTTTATACTTAATCAGATTAAAAAATAACTGCACCAATAAAAAATAATCGAGTTTCAAACAAAAACAGCATGATTATCTGTAAATTCATTGAATCAATGTATCAGTACATACGTGTTCAAAGCAAAAGTGATTTTATTAATAAAATTATAAAGTACAAAGCATTGATTAATAAAATCTCGCGTTATTCTGTGGACTCGGCAACCCCATTTTTTATATATCGAATCAACAGAGAATAAACTGAGTTCAATAATGTCTAATTTATCATTCTAAATCCCGTTCGTACAGATTCATTCTCGCTCAACATAACGGCAACTCACACCACAAAGTGCCATAGGGGCCGTGTTTTGTAACCTAAGGGTACAAAATAAAATAAAGAAGTATATACCAGGAGGGAAAACACGTTTTCCATTTCGTCGTTACTTTATCGCAAGTCGACATGAAAATGGTATTTTTTATTATCATTATTTTAAAAAGAATTGTAAGCTGATTGTTTTTACGAGGGAACATACTGGAAGTGATTATTCTACTTCTTGCATTAATTGTGTTAAAATAGTATAAACATTTGACTATAGTTTTTTTACAACATTATAGTTAAAAGTAATATGAAATTCCTTTTATCATCGAAGAAGACGAATATTTTAAATGACATTCGTGCTATTTTTAAAATAGTATTTCGATCACGTTTAAAATTACCGTTACGTGACGTAACTAAAAATAATTGATTCAGGTTGAACTCCACAAAATAAAAGAACGTAACCGTTATATGTGATTTTTTTTACAAACATTTATATAAGTAACGAAATAAAACAATGTTCTCTCATTATGTTTAATTTTTATATAAAAATGAATACAACCTTTAATCGGAGAATGTGAACCTCGTCGATTTCAGTGACCTTGATACGTGTTTGAAGGTCAATTTTGTGAATAATTCTGCCTGCCAGCTATCGTAAACAGATTTTGATAATGGTGTACATTTTAAGTATTCTAAAGTTCTTACGAATTTGTACATTACTAAATAAAATTGTATAACGAATTTTTGTTAGGTGACTGTAACTTGAACAGCGATATAGGCAAAATTATTCAAGAGCTTGTAACCTTAATAACATGTGAAGGTTGCTGAAATCGACGAGGTTTACCTGTTTCATAAAGCACTATAAAAATCATGAATGGCAGTATCATAAAAAGTATTGTAAAATTCGTTATTAAGTATATTCCCCCGTATCTTGAACAGACTGTTTTCCATGTCTCTGGACAATTGGCTCGATGATATTTTATTACACGAACCATTGAAGGCCTCGCACAACGGAACGAGGTTTAGATATCTTAATATTTCAACGTTTTACTCACTCTCTATTTATTCATCAAGATACAACGAGGACTCGTAATGATAACAGATTACATTGCGGCTACACACATTAAAGCAATACTTATTAGACGCTAGAAAGTACGATACAATATCACGACTGTTTCTCGCGTACTTTCTCATCACTTACGCATAGTTTCAATTTGTGTATCTACGATGATTCTCATGTTCTCTTTCAGTTTGTTTTCTTTCTTTTTTTTCTTCTCTTTCCGGAAGAGAAAAAAATAAAGTACTTTTATAAGCCTTTTTTTGTGGACATGCTCCTTATCGTACTTCAAGGTCAACGCTACGGTGCAAATTCGAAAGCAGAGAGTGAGCAACAATAAAGTGTTAAATCCGATTCAGCTTTGTTCATCATTGCTTTCTTGTATGTTCGATAGTAAGCAGTTTTTTGCTATTATCGTTCTTTTTGTTTCTTCTATGTTGTGCACCTGTATATTTAACCGCAAGACTTCATGTGTTACTGTGTAGATTGTGTCTAAAATATTTGGTTAAATTTTGAGAATATGCACCACTAATTGTAAGGATGAAAGAGATTTGCATTTAATATACAATGATAGATACTTCCCTCTATTTTAAACATTTTTTTTAAAACTGTATACAAATTTCCCTCTTAACTATTGCTTCTTTCCCCGTTCTCATTTCTCTTCAATAATTTATAATATTAATGTTCAATCTTTAAGATTTTAATTTTGACAAAAATTATGGCTTCCATAAATTATCCTTTGCTCTCTTTATTCAAGGATGCTTCAAGTAGCTTTCTCGTGGAGGGACAAATAATCTGTAACAATAACATTGCAAATATTTTATACATTTTATCAACACAACATTATGGAGACCAATACAACTATAAAAATTTCCATCGTCTTTGCAATTCGCAGACTATACCTCCAAGTTTTAACCAAATATTTCAGACGAATCTTATTTATATAATATTATAAATCATTCATATATTCACGATCGCTCACTACGTGTTGAGTAGAAGTACACATGTATTACAAAGAAGCAGTAATACAACATTGACATATTGTAACGTATCAGAGAGACAAAGAAAAATTTGGAACAGAGGGAGGAGGGAGCAATAGATAGAGACAGAAAGAGACGGAGAGATGAATTTCGAAGACAGAATAAGTGCGTACATACTTTCGCCCTTCGTAAATATTTCTGATGATGTATTTTAGGTTGTACGATCGTGTTATGATTTATTCGTATGTATCTGCTATGGTGTATAAGTGTCGCTAGACTCCTCGATCTTTTTCTTTTCTTTTTCTAGCGGCGAAGTTACAATACATTTTCCCAAATAATCCGAAGGAACTTGAGAAGTATAATGTTTCCCTAGTGTTCCCGGTAAGAGAACGCATATGTATTTGCTCATCTCCTGATACAGAGAAAGCGACGTCTGGTTAGGGTGTTTTAACGAAGCCAAGCGACCGTGAACAAGGATGTAAAAGAATACTTTTAAGTACGGCTCGCAACAACACACTTTTGTCTACTATTTGTCTCCAAGCAATAGAGTAGAAATCTATTCCTTTCCAGAACACCGGATTATTTGGGAAACTTAGTCGGGTATACTTATAACCGTAAATAGTCTTGACTCTTGTACTGTATGCACCTGTTACGTTTACCATCGACCACTTTTCTTTTCGCCTGTGCCTCTTTGTATGTCCTGCAAACACAAACGTACGCAATCGCGGTTATTAATAGTAATGTATTTAGGGCTGACATTTTTAATTATGTTATAATGATACGTAACCATCTTTATGCCTCTATAGAGCATTTGCTGTGTTACATACTTCTATTGTTTGGAAAGTATTTTGGCCAACTCAACAGACCATTATCTTTGTCTTCGATAGATGATGATTTCTATGTTTTTAGAATTAAAAATGAAGATAAGAGTAAACAGGTCATTTTGCATCTATGCCAGTGTTGTTTATTTTAATAGCAAAGTGAAAAAGAGGGAAACAACAGAATGCACAAATACAATGGGAATCCTATAAACTTTGTCTTACTTGCTTTTAACTTTTAACAATAATATATAGCATACTACGTAAATACCTTTTAAAACAGAGGAAATATAATTACATTTTGTGCACTAAATGCATGAAAATTGTTTAATATAATATATTGCTGTAATGTTAGTCAATGATGTTTGACATCAAATTCTTCGTTTATCTTGAGGTAGTTGCTAACTGTATCTTAAAATAAAGCATACAAATAATGTATACCTTGACACTGAAAGCAAACAAAACTTAAAATTTCCATGCAATTAATAATGCTGTGTAGTTAATTAAATATTCGACTCTTATGTATAATTTGACTGAGAAAATAATCAATATAAAATGTGCTAAATTAAAGAAAATTAAACTTAAACATGAAGCTACTCATAGTTTTATCTATTAATTGTTATGGACGTTGATTTGTAAGAATTTGAAATGATTAAAAGGAATATTTATTTAACTGAAAGTTACATTTTACTATTAATCTAAAAAAATGCATTGTAAATTCTTAGTAACTGTTACATATAGAAAAAGAAACGCTTATTTATATATATATAGGCTTGATATAAGTTCGAGTAAAAGTAATCTGCTTTCTTGAAATACTAAAATTTACAGTTATTTGCTCTTAAATATTTCTTAAAGATCCTTAGAAATCATATACATATAAAGTATATACTATAAAATATTAAAAAGCTAATACTGATGAAAATGAACGGCTTGTTTTGAAAATGAGAAATTAGAACATCTAAAGAAACACTAATTTAAAAACATATTTAGTCTTCTGATATCAATGAGTATTGATATTAGGAACTTAGGTCTCCTGCTACAGTATAAAATTAAAAAAATTTTTAAGAATTAAAGTATGCTATGTCTATTGCCGTTCACGAGAGTAGTACTTTCAACCATTCTCTAAAACAAGTGTTGATAATAGTACATGTATATATTGCAGAGCATTCAGTCTATTTTATTTCAATCAGTGATTTTGTTACTCTTACTCAGTCAAATAATATGAAAGTTTGAAATGCATAATTATGCACAACAATCAGACAATAATAATAATAATTGGAAGAAAAAATACATAATAAAAGTGTCTTTAGTAATATTTAATTTTGATGTATGTTAAAATTAACTCAATTTACAAATCAACTTAATATTTATAATTAACTAACCATAGTTTTCTTATATTAAAACTATGCTATTGTACAAAGACTTATCCCAGAAACTTTCATGTTTTTTTTTTACGTTTTTTTCTTTACTGGACCATAGACTAAATTTTCTCTTAGAAACTTGGTATTATTCGAGTGTATTTCCGTGATATTGATACTGTATTTGCATGTACACACATTTTAAGCAGCAAGGTGAGTCACTGGCAGCAAGGCTTACGCATTCCCTCTGAATTCATTGTTGGTTTCACGTCGATAGGTTCTACGTTCTGTGGCCGGATTGTATCACCTTCAGGTGGATCGCGTATCTGTTTCTGCGATACGATTCTGTAGATTTCTGTAATGGTCAAAGTTTGGATTAACTTTTATTCGTGAATAATGTAGTACAAAAGCAATACAGTGAAATAGTTCTTTACATTCACGTTTCCTCATATTTAGAAGAAAACAAATGTTAATAACCTAAACAGGAGTAACATATAACAGGCTTATTGTACTTAAATAACAACTTCTATACCTGTTAATATATTTTGAAATGCTGTCTCAACATTGGTAGAGTCTAAAGCAGAAGTTTCAATGAAAGAGAGGCCATTTCTCTCTGCAAATGCTTTTGCTTCATCGGTTGGAACTGCACGTAGATGCCTTAAGTCAGATTTGTTTCCCACCAACATAATGACAATGTTTTGGTCAGCATGGTCCCGTAATTCCCGCAACCATCTTTCCACATTTTCATATGTTAGATGCTTTGCGATATCATATACCAACAGAGCTCCAACCGCACCACGATAGTACCTATAAATTACAAACAATTAGAAAATCAATTGTGATTTATAGAAATATATATAAATTTTAAAGGTACTTTAAAAACTGGAAACAGTTCAGAATTATAGTAATGAAAAAATTAAATAGCTGATATACCATTTTACAATGTTTATTTAGAAGATTATAACAAAGTTTCTTCTCACTTTCTTGTAGCGGTAACTTTAACTTACGCCGATGTAATAGCACGGTAACGTTCTTGTCCAGCTGTGTCCCAAATCTGAGCTTTAATAGTTTTTCCATCTACTTGTATACTACGTGTAGCAAATTCAACTCCTATAGTCGATTTTGATTCTAAGTTGAATTCATTTCTCGTAAATCTTGATAACAGATTACTTTTTCCTACTCCTGAGTCACCAATAAGAACAACTGGAAAAACAAAATAAAAAATTTGCAATCAACTTGTTTATCTAAAAAGGCAACAAAAGATTCTGTACCGCTTTTTATTGTTAAATTCAAATAATCATAAGATGCAAATAGTTTACATTACATTAAATAAAAACATTATTATAAATTAGTGCAGTTAATTTTTTTTTTTAAACTGCTTGCATAGTTTTGTTAATTTTACTTTATTACAAATATTAAATTACAGAAATTATTAAAAATAATAAACCACAGGAAGCTATACAAGTGTTCGTAGATAACTCGCGGTAAAATGAACCAGCTGACTCATACGATTACCAGAAATTATGATTATTGCGAGAAGATTACTAAACAGACGAACGGCGAAAATTTTTCTCCGAGTTTACGCGTATGAACGATCTCTGATGTCATCGTTTAAACTTGACGTTCCGAATTATATCTGTCAATCATCTTAACAATTGCGATTCGAACTTGATATAATTTCGGCCCCTATGTTATTGAACGATGACAATTGTCAGTTTTTAACTGATATATGATTACGAATACGTATATGGGCGAATTAAAACCGTACGTGTACACTATGTAACACGATGAATAGCAGACATGTATACACACGCATTTGTGTGTGTATATTATATATATGTATATGGGATATGCAAATGTCGTTACACGTATATGTACAAGAGTGTACGTATTTGTGTGTATGCGTGGAAAAATTGTTCAATGCTCGAGAAGTTTTGCAAATGGATGGCAAAGTGACGAGAATGATTTGACAGAATTTGTTTTTACCTTTAAATAAATAATCGTATTCATCATCCCGAGTGCCCATCTCGTCCGGAGCAATAAACCCCTTTAGTAGACTGACGGACGGTACCTAGATATCAGGATACACTACTACGACTTGCAGTTATTTACAAAAAATGTAGGAACCTGAAATCGGTCCCTGTACACTATTACTTTAATTGCGATAATCAAACGATACCGTTGCGAACGTGTACAGTAAAAATACGGAACGAAACAGGCACAACTATACGATGATATAATTATTTTCGTTCTTTCAATTTAACTGTACAATATGGCCTCCTTTCTACGCCCCTCCAAACTGATACATTAGACATGCGCAATGTATGCGTATCAAGCGCATGCGCAAATTGATCATAGATTATATTTATTCTAGATTAGATACATGATAAAAAATATCGGTCATATCATTGTCGGTAAAACAGGACATTATATTCTCGCGCCATAATTTAAATTGGTCCTAAAGGTTTCAACAATTTGAGAGAAGTAAATGGTCTATCAAATACCGAGAAAGTGCTATAGGATCAGTTAGGAAAAATTACTTTATAAAGTATATACATGCACTCAAATTGATATCTTATAAATATTTGTCTATTTTATTATGCTTAGTAGTTATAATTATCTTAAAACGACATTTACAATATATTAATATATGCTTTTTTTTAGTTTGTTGTGTGTCATGCACTTTCTAAATATAAGTTTACTATACAGTGAACGCATGGCATTAATATCTAACCTAACCTTTTCATTCATTTACAGGCCGGTTTACAAGCAGATAAGACATTGCCAACATATTTACATACTTACATTTTTCTACCTCAAATTGTAAGTACATGATGAAATTCAATGTCATATTTTGAAACCGTGTTCTCAGGTACTCACACTCGAGGTAAATTACAAAAAGTTATTCATAATTCTTGATGTATTAATCTAGCCTATTATGTTTCCATATACGGTATGAAATTGTTAAAAATGTTAATAAAGTTATATAAATTTTTTCAGATCATTGAATTTCGAGCACTACTAAGTTGAATCTCCTAAGAATTATGTTTTAAAAGATTTTATTATGTTACCACAGACGCACATGTTACCATTTTCGTTTATTTTAAAACAATTAAAAAATTATTGACAATAAAATATATTATTAAGCGCGAAAGGAACATTTTCTGAATGTTGTGTCAATATAGTACAAAATAGAAATTAAAAATGAATAAGATAAGTATACCACCAAATTTGGATTTGGACGATCCAAGATTCAGGATCAAACCATACCAACAAGTTGTTGCTGCTTGTACTGGTGCTTTTATCACATCTATATTTGGTAAATACATTAATACGATAATTATTCATTTTGTATCTGTTTCTGTCAAATTATGCAATTCACTTATAAACCTATATTAATCTTTTGCAGTTACACCTTTAGATGTAGTAAAAATTCGACTTCAAGCTCAGCAGAAAGCTATGCTTTCTAATAAATGTTTCCTTTATTGTAATGGTTTAATGGATCATTTGTGTCCATGTTTAAATGGTAGAGGCCCAGAATGGGCTAAGGGAAATGGAAAATTTAATGGCACAGTTGTATGTTCACATTTATAATTTTCTTTTCTAACTCTGTATTTGTCTGTTTAAGTATTTATATCTCATAACTTTTACAAAGTCATTTACCTTTAATCAAAATTAAAGTTATATAAGACAAGGTATAATGATATTTATGTGTTATAGGATGCCCTTGTAAAAATTAGTAAAAATGAGGGTATTACTTCTTTATGGAGTGGATTAAGCCCTACTCTTGTTCTAGCAGTACCTGCAACCATAGCATATTTTGTTTCATATGAACAATTAAGATTATATTTTAAGGTAATCAAAATAACTGGTGACATTATGTGACTTTTTGTGGTTTCTTATATTTGTCTTATATTTTTGTAGGATACATATAATAAGAGGTTTAAACTAAATAGAATTCATGACACAGAACAACCATTCTGGATTCCTATGTTGGCTGGAGCAATAGCACGTATTTGGGCAGCAACTTTAGTAAGCCCATTAGAATTAATTAGAACAAAAATGCAATCACAACGATTGAGTTATGCAGGTACTTTCTTTGATCTATGTAATTCTTATGTCCTCTATATTTACTGATATTAATTTATTTCAGAAATTACACAGGCATTGAAAACTGTTGTAAAATACAATGGTATTACTGGCTTGTGGATGGGATTAAGTAGTACTCTCCTACGTGATGTACCATTTAGTGCAATTTATTGGTTAAACTATGAAACTATAAAAGGCAAATTTAGAGATTCACAGCAAACTTTTACTTTTAATCTTGCAGCAGGTGCCATAGCAGGCTCTGTATGTATTTTATAAGTCAGCTTTTTCTAAATTTTGTACTTGAAGAAACAGAAATATAGAAGTAGCAAATTTCTGTTAATAAATTTTACAGATGGCAGCTTTCCTGACAATCCCATTTGATGTAGTGAAAACACATAGACAAATAGAAATGGGTGAGAAAGAAATTTACTCAGGTATAAAATGCAGAAAGTTCTACTTATGCAATTTTTGTATTCTATCTGGTATAAACGAAAACATTTTTTGCAGATAAACCGGGGCGTAGCAGCAAAACATTTGATATAATACACAAAATTTATAGTCAGAATGGAATAAAGGGACTTTTCACTGGATTAATACCGCGTATAATAAAAGTAGCTCCGGCTTGTGCGATTATGATCGCAACTTTTGAACATGGGAAACGATTTTTTACAACATACAATGCTAATATGATACTTAAATATGAGAACGATTTACAGTATCTACAACACAAACGTAACAGTACAGAGTGAGATGCGTATCATATTTTATGTTACAGAAATAAAATAAATAAATTTAATTTATAACCATACGGTTTAATCCTCGTATTTTCATTTTCAAAACATATTATTGTTTTTGCATAAAAAATAGAATTACTTCAAACTGCTTATCAAGATGTTTGAGGATTAAAAATCGTGCCAAGTTATCGACTACCGGTATCATCCCCAGTATGGTAACTTTTATATAACCTAACTTCATCCCATCAAGTCGTTGCAACTTTGTAAAAGAAATCACTATAGGTGAACAAGGATCAAACGAATATCTGTATTCGTACAATTTGTAACATCCTACATCTTTACATTACGTTTTATGTCAGAAGTTTGTAGAGGAAAAAGAGATTATTAAGAAAATATGAATTTTGCGATAAGATAGTGTTAAGTTAAATAAACGTATATGTTTCCGGAAATGCATATTGGCAAATGTACCCATTAGTTATTGCAGACGAATATCGTTCGGCTAAATTCGGTTGGTCGATAAACGAAGTCGGCAAGAATCGGGGCGTTGGAAGTGGTGAATAGGTCATCGCACGGAAGTCGGTTTAGTTCGGTCGGTTGGGGCAGGCTGTTCGCGTAGCACTTTGTTCACTAGTCACTTACCAATTCAACATTCCAAAGGCTGGGTCTTCTTACTGCCTCTTCAACACTCTAATCAGGTAGGTTGAACTGCTACTGAACGAAGAGAATAAGATAAAACTAATCAAATCTATCATCTATTGTTGAATTAATGCTATTTTTTATCTGAACAGTGCATAAGAACATAGATACGAAAAGATTTTTCCATAATCCATGACCGACTTGTTAATTATGTCAGCCAGCGGACGAATAGAAGTAGCCATTTTGTGCCGTATCCGTAAACGTCCACCATTATAATTTTCTTCTACTTTTTATTATTTCTGTGATAACAGAAATCGTTAAGTTTATTCTGTTACGAGATAATTTTGGCCCTCTACACCCTTCAATCCTCATGTAACGATTTCGTTGGGACGTTACGTAATCTTGCGCTAAGTGTGATCGCTTCGTGGCTAGTGATTCGCTGCCGCTCGCCGGGTCCACACGCGTCTTTTAACCAGAACTCGTGCATTTGCTTTGAAATTTTTACTTGTCGTCCTTTCAGATACTCGCTTAGCGACCACACAACACTAAACGTCATCATGTACGCCTGCACCCGATTCATCGCACCCCTCGCCAGGTCGACCGTGAGTAACAGAAAAAAGAATATTCACATTTTCCTCATTTTTACACACGCGTTATTATATAACTTGGATCGATTTTAACCGAACTTGATCTCTTTCTTAGTTGGTTTCTGGAACCAAGAATTACATTCGGCCTTTAAGCAGTGCCGTGGTCAACCACAGCCAGTCCCTACAACAAAATCAAATTCAAAGCCCAGCTAGTGTTGTGAGTACCTCTGGAGTTTTTCACATTGCATAACCTCCCTGAATTGGGGATTACATAAGCAGTTTTATTTTCATAATATGAAGCTTATTTCAGAAAAAAAATGTATGAAGTCTTGAACTAAATTGTTAAGTAATGATAGTTAACACATATTGATGATCTTATGTATTTCTGCATGAACATTTATGTCATTCAGAAGACATGTAATTTGGAATGGAATTGACCATGACAAAAAGATGTTCACATTAATTCATGCAAAAACTAATGTCTTCATTAGTCTAAGTACAAACTTATATTATGAGGAGTGTATTTTTGAAAATTCCAGCACTTAAAGAAAAATTTGAAAATTAAAAATATAAATTTGATTAGGCTTTAATGCAAACTTAATAAAGGTTATGTAAGTCATCATGTTAGAGATGAAATACATAAAATACAATTTTCAGTTGAGATTACTATTGAATATAATTTTTTATACAAAATTCAAATAAAAAATGCCTGAATATGTCACATTTGTCAGTTTTTGAAGATTTAATACATTATGAATATTCTTGTTTGGAATAGTATTATATAGCATATAATGCTTAGAAGAATAATTATTTTGTAATTATTTTTATTGCAAGTCTTCAATTGTGCATAGCTTTCAAACTTCCATAATCAGTTATGACATTGACACCATTCCAAAGTTTATTGGTGCTGCTATAGCTCTCATTGACCTAAGATTTGAAAAACAAAGAAAATATTAATTTGATTAGATTTGAACTAAAAATTTTACAAAAAATATGCTAAGCTAATGAATATTATATAATTGATCAGGTCACATTACAATGCATATAATATAACTTTCACTTAACATTACTATCAAACATGATATTTCTTATACAAAATTGAAATGAAGTTTTAAAATTATATAATATTATTTCAAACCAGAGCTCTTGTAATATAATGATATTTGGAAGATAATGTGGGTAATTATTTTGTAGTCACCTTTGCTGCAGTCTTCAATCATACGTAGTTTCCAAACATCCGCGATCAGTCGTGACATTGACTCTGCTGCAAAGTTCATTGGTGCTGGTGCAGCTACCGTTGGTGTTGCTGGATCAGGTATATAATTGTACTTAGTTTGCTTTCCTAAAATCATTGTAATTTTTATTTACACTTCGGAAAAGAAAGAAATTTTAAAAGTTTAATTTTTGTTAAATGAACAAATTTTGTATTATAGGGGTTGGTATTGGTTTAGTTTTTGGATCCTTAATAATTGGTTACACCCGAAATCCATCCCTGAAAACGCAAGTTTTCAGTTATGCTATCCTTGGTTTTGCGCTATCTGAAGCAATGGGCCTCTTTTGCATAATGATGGCATTCCTTATCCTGTTTGCCTTCTGATCCAAACCAGTGTCCTAATCACAGTAATGTTATACGATGTAACAAATACCTTATGAATCGTGATTGTGTTCCTATAAATGGTTATATATTGATTAAAATATCTGGATGATAATTTAAAAAATGATGTTATAATTTCAGGTGCCGGAATTGGATCAGTGTTTGGTTCTTTAATCATTGGTTATGCAAGGAATCCATCCCTTAAACAGCAACTGTTCTCATATGCCATCTTGGGCTTTGCCCTGTCCGAGGCCATGGGTCTTTTCTGCCTTATGATGGCTTTCTTGCTTTTGTTCGCGTTCTAAGTCACCAAAATCGCATGAAAAATTACTGATAGTTTTAGTGCGTCGCCATCAAAGCAGCATCTACTGATTCCGTATAAGGGAGGCAGAAGGAGTTGTCTTTGGTGCACAGGATGCCATGAAATTATTAGAGATGCTCGAGTATGTGGTTCGATGGGGTATGCGACGGTACGACAATGAGTTGAAATGGCGGCTGTACACGTGTTGGATTATCGATCGAACCGTTCTAACCCCTTCTGCCTTTCGATCGATTTGTAATTATTTCATGGTCTACTGTCTCATGTAGCGTAAAACTCACATTATAAAATAATGGAATTCAGTGTATTGGTCGAATAAGAACATTCATATAAAAAAAGTTTATTAAAAACAACAGCCTCGCCTGCAGACCCATATTATATATATATACACACGTATGTATATCCATCACCTTAATATTAACAATATAAGGAGTAGTACACATCGAACATTTTTGTTACCCGAATGGTTCGTCATTGTTGTGCCATCGCGCACGTTGTTGAGGTAACTTTGGACGAAAAAAACTGTACAGTGATACCGAATAAACACTTTGTCGTGAAATTATTATTCATCGTATAAATGATTCTTTTCGAACAACCTTTTCCTTAGGTTATTGATTATTTCTTTTTAATATGTTCCCGATGTGAAGCTGATTCCGATTGAAAATTTATAGTTATAACTAATAAAAATATTTATAAAGTTATGACTGTTTCCAAGATTAGAGTTACGTACCTTTTTAATATTATAATTTCAATGAATACTGTCGGCATGATATTGTAAGTTAAATAAAAGTAAAGTGAAATGAAATTTGGGTCTATTATTTTTCATCCATAGTTTAGTTGCACTTGCATATTTCAAATTTCAGTAAAGAATAAGTCACGTTCGTAGTTTAAATTATATATTTATTGATTATGAAACAAGTTTAGTAACAATGGTCAAAAAATGTAGAAGTATAAATCAATGAATTGCATACTAACTTCACAATAATTACAGTATTTACTTTGCAGAACCAAGATAGCAATTGTGTTATAAGTTTTATGCATTAAATATGTGTGAGTAAAATAAATGCAATGAATACTATTTAGAATTTTATATTTGATAATTTATACATTTGTAATACTATCACTTTAATATATTCAGTAAGTTCTTCCTATTTAAGGAAAATCAGCAATTAGTGTTACTGTAATTATTATTACGCGAATGAAGTACACTATTTTCCTCGAAAATTAGACTGATGTTATTACATTTCTGTACATAGCTTCATCATAATACACAATTATAGTAAAAAATTTAAATTAATTTGTAGTAGTGCCAAAGCTTATAGGTTCTCCTATATTATTATGTGGTAACATATTTAACTGGTCTAGCAAATTTTCTCGTTCTCTAAGACATGCCCATGCCTTTTCTTGTTCCTTCTTTGTTAGTGGTATTTTTCTTTGTTTCGACAACATAAGTTTCTTGTAATGTTCTATTACTTCATTGTCAGCAGTGCTGATTTTTCTTTTTAATGCCTGTCGTTTGCTTTCTTCTTGAGCTAAGTTCAGCAATCTTTTCAATTGTGTAACATTATGATTGGAAAGTGCATTAAGCTCTTGCTGACACCTCTTAATTTCTGCTAAAATTTCATCGTCTTCCTGGCATTTTTTTTGTGCATCTGGTTCTAAAATTCCTTGTTCTACAAGTTCTTTATGCATTCTTAATTCTAAATTAATAGAGTTTTGAATAGTAAGATCTCTTAAAACTGGAGGGTCGCTATCCCTGAACAGCTTATTGTCTGTGTTATTATTTGCTACATATACATTTTCTTCCAGTAAAGCAGAAACTAATCTTTGTGTAAGAGGTCCTGCTATACTATGAGCCTTTCTATCATTTTTTGCCACTAAAAGGGATACATCTGAACGATTTTTTTTCTTTTCCCTATTTGGATTAGCTGCATCCTCTTCTTGCAACAAGTCATTGTGTGCCCACATTAAGCTGTAATGACGACCTAATGGAGGAATTTTTTTATAGTCGCTAACGTCGCTATGAGTTGCAATTAATTCTTCTAATAATTTAATGTCATCGGGCGTAATATCCGTACAATATGGATCGACGGATGCCCAGAACTTATTAGGCGTATCATTTTTTGGTAAGAGTAACTTTGGCGATTCCGATTTGGAACCTTCAATTCTTGATATTTCATGTACATTTGGAATGACTTGAGAATTCGTACTAGCAACAGCTTTCTGCTTAAAGAGTTTTGCAGGTAGAGGTGACTGAGTTTTTGTATTGACTTCTTTTGGTTTGAATTTCTCTTCTCTAACTTTTTTATCCAAAAGTGAAAGACCTTTCCCACTTTTAGACCTTTTGTCTCTACGTTCTTCCGCAGAAGATAAATTTGCTATCTCTTCTTGAAGCATGCGATGTCTAACAACTACAGACGAAAGTAGCATTTCCAACTCTAGTTGTAATGTGTCCAGGTCTTCCATACCTACACCTTCTTCTGTGCTACGTTGTAGAATGCTGGTGTATCTTGGAAGAAGCCGGGTGTTGTCAGCAATTTTTAATATTGGTAATGACATTGTAGTATCTGTGCTTTCTGAGCTTGTGTCTGAATTCAGTGTTGAAGATTGTACAAGTGTCGAAGACTTCCCAGATTCTCGCACTTTGACAATAGCTTTCTTGGAGCTTTGTTTTCCTTTACCCGACATGATTGCAAACTTAATAACGTAAATACATAGGTGATTCAATAAAATCTTAAAAATTATTTCATAAAAGAATAGTCAAGTTGTAACACTCAACCATTTCCTCTTATCTTCTTAGTCATAACCTTCATTTCTTTCTTTTATTCTCATGCTTAACACGTGATAAATATTTCCGTCGTTTATTATTTTGTTTTAGATTTTTATTTTCTTTCAATTCAAGTTAGTAATGTTTGTTTATTATACACGTTCTATTCTAAAATGTTGGAAAATGTTAGGTTATGGAACATCTACAACTTGTAGGAATAATGTACCTATACCTTAATTAATTGCACGGTTTGGAACGTTGGGTATTCGTAGACAATTGCCATGTAACTTCAATTCATAAAATGAAAGTAACTTTTTCTTAAGGATCGAATAAAAAAATATCTTTCATTTATTATTTTATGTTCAAATAAACTTATACAAGTATGGTTAATCAATTCGTCATGAGATTCTTCTCTCTTCAACAGCAGCACTGTCGCAAGTGTTTATTTACACCTGTACAGGATAGTTAAAGATGTAAAGCATAATTTCCATATAAAAATATATGAATTATTTTATATTAAACATGTTTTGTGATAATAAACTTTAAATCAAGTACTACACATATGGACGCTCTACTATTGTTCATTCAACGAGGGATCATACTCATTTGCGCAAAAGAGCTGACTTCAGTAGGCTCCCCACCAATTATTATAATTGATAAGTGGCATAATTTGTACATACATTCAGGTGTGTTTACATTATGTTAATAAGTTGCACATTATGACCAAAAGATTTTATGTATCAAAATAATTAATAAAATTTGAATGGATATTATTTGATCATTATGTTCCAGAATTATTGGTGTAACGATGGTCAATCGATACGATATATTTTACTCTATCTACAGCTGTGACCAATTTTATGATTTACATGTAAAATTGTCACGGGCCATAGGTCACTCCATGAATAATGATAAACTGCTCATTATTGTTTGAGAAATAAAACCTAATATGGCTGAGAAAGGAGCGTATTTAACCGGAACGGCATTTATAAGGCCTTCTATTTTTGAAATTATAGCACAAGAATCATTTGGATCTACTACTGAACCAGCTTTTAAAAAACTTCTATCGGTAGGTTAAACTTGCAAAGTCGATGTATGAATTTCAGGGTCCACATGTACAACAGAAATGTGTCAGTATTTTTATTGTTTGAAAATAATTTTTAGAATTTTTTTTATTTATTTTATATTGTTAGTACGTTACACTGAAATTCGGCCCACAAACCGGATATCCGGATAAGAAATTTGAATATCTATTTTACAACAATAATCATTTTAATTTTTGTAATTTGCAATTTTAGTTTATCGTATCATTTAATCCTGGAAGATATAAAGATATACTTAAATGGGCAGATGAATGCTATTTGCTTTTTGATATAATTCTTCAACGATATTATTTAAAAAAGTACTGTAAGTAATTTCTAATAACTCATACAAAGTATAATTTCTAAATGAATGATCTACAAATGTATTTTTTCAGCTGCTTCTTTTTCTGAAGCATTCTATGGTTTAAAACGTATAGCAACTGAAAATTCTAAACTTAAACGTGAGTTATCAAAAAAGCAAAAGGGACTATCTTTGGTATTAATAGTTTTATTTCCTTATTTAAGAAGTAAGTTTTCTCAATTAAGTCAAAGGTATAAACTTGAGGAATTAGATGGTTATATACCACAAACAGTAAGTAAATAATACTTTTGATTTTGACTGGTTGATGCATCCTTTGGTTCTCTTAATCAGCCTCAGAAATATGCTTGCTTTTTATGTATGTGATTATTCTAACTTTCAAGAAACATTTCAATCATTTTTTTTAGAAATGGGAGAAGCTATATCGTGCTTTTATTGTGAAAGGATATTCCATCACTTTTATGATATATGAATTTATGGTATTATATAATTATATACTGTATATTTCTGGGAAGTCACCATTTACATCACCGCTTCTGAGATTGTTATCTATTTCTTTGACATATGCTGAACCAAAATTGGTAATGAGTGTTTCTGATTTATTAAGAAAGATAAAAAATAATTCCTTTGGTATCAGCGATGGTATAGATATATTTCAAAGAGTGGTGACTACGTCTCTTGAATTTGGGGCATTCTTTCTACAATTTCTGTCCTGGTGGAATCAAGAACATTACTTAACAAATCTAATGTCCTTACCTATTCCACCACCTCCAGTGGTAAGTAAATAATAAGTGAGTGCTTATTGTTATACAAACGGATAAAGTATTTTCTTTATTAATTGTACATTATTATCATAGATTCCAGAAACAGCAAAAAAATATAAAGGCATATGTCCAATTTGTTGTAAAACGCTCAGGGTACACACAGTACTTCCAGTATCTGGGTATGTGTATTACAGAAAATATTAGTATAAAAATAAGAAATTCGAATTCTGATATATTCTATAAATACTACATTTTACAGCTATGCATTTTGTTATCAATGTATTCTGTCTGTGATACGCAAAAGTGGCAAATGTCCAGTGACAAACTATCCTGCTAAGGAAGACGATTTAATACGTTTGTATTTAGATTAGATAGTAACACATATTTTGCAGTATAACTATATATGTAAATAAAGAATATTATTGTTTTTAAATTTAATTCGTTTTCCACTGTTACCTTGATTATAAGACACAGAAGATGTCTCTCGTCAGCATTATGAAAATATTAATATATTTTGTTTCTGAAAATAGTATATTTATTAGCATATTTTATCGTTACATAACTTTCACTATTACCCTGAATTTCATGAAAAAGATGTAGCATAGATTATATTGAGTAAACTAGTTGAATAAGTAGTTGCGAATAACATTTACAGGTACGTTATTATTATAGAAAATACTGATTTTAGCCAAAAGACTTTTCAAGCAGCGTCCAATACACCCGCGTACACGAATCACAGATAACGGCGCCAAAAGTTCCAACATTCGCACCAAAGTTTTGGTAAAATATCTTATACAATAATATATTCAATACTGACTCTACTAGACTTTTAACATGTTTATAAAGAATCTAGGAATAAGAATGATTCGAAAAATAAAAGAGCAATATAATATTAATAAGGCTATTCGTGTATATTTATTTTTGTATTTCCATATCACTAAATAATCAGTGTTCGAGTAGCAGAAGTTGCATAATCTTATGATGTCTTTTTGGAACTACAAATACTAGTGTTACATCTTGTTGAATACAGAGCTTTCCAAAATGGAAATTTGCTTTTATACTTTCTTTTTATTAAAAAATAATTTAAGGCACATATCAAAATATTATATATTTTCCAGAATTTGAAGTATTACTGATACATATCTGCAAACAATTATGGCACATATTGTAAAAGAATTACTTATATATATTCTGCTATCAAATACAACAAATTAAAAAATTTTAAGGTCACTTCATTCATTCGCTTATTTTATGTAAAAATATTTGTGATTATTTACAATTCTTATGTTCGAATCTTACATGGAAAAGTTTTTAGTGCTAAATTTGAAATACGGACATACTGGGACATTTGGAAAGCTTTTCACCGAGATACTTGAACACTGACTTTTTTACTATGTTGATAGGAACATTTCTTCAAAGGCCACAATTAATGCACAACGATTCTAATGTCCTAATCTAACCAAACTAATTATATAATATCATGTTAGTAACGTTTCATGGCATAAAAATTGATAACAATGATCTGGTTTACACTTAAACACAGGCTTACTACAAAAAACATTACATACATTCGTCTTTTTTAAAATTATGTACAGATTTTTTGTAAAATTATGGGCTTATTAAAATACTTTAAAAACATTTGTTTTTTATCTGCAGTCTAAATTTGATAAAAACAGAAGAATTATATGTATGCCTTCAAAAATTACGTACTTACTTCTATGTAGCCATTAACATCTAGTAATTATACCTGTAATTTTGATTTCTGTGCATATACTTTACATAAGAATCTAATTATCTTGCTAAGTTGTTAAAACATTCAAAACTAGCACAACAAACAAGTAGAGATACATAGGATGGAAACAAACGTAAAGTTACAAGTAAAAAAAGACAAAATTTACTGAAGTTATCATTCGATGATAGTGCAAAAGTCTGGTTTTCCAAACACGGACATTTAAAACGTCAACATGCAAATTGTACTACCACTATGTATACAACAACGTAAATGTACATCATTGAAAGGAAGTAAAGCGTACGTGTCAGTATTCTACAACGTATACATACGTACGTGTCTTTACATAATCCATAAATTTCATATCCAATCAGATATTCATTAGCTTTTTTGAGTCAATACAACATATTACTTTATCAATCTCTTAGCATACGAACTATAATTCTTCGAAGAACGCAACTCTGGCCTTGGTGGATCCTGACTTCACTTTTTTTAATGTACTATATTTGTTCTCACCAAGTCGTACTTGTTCTTCATGCAGCTGATCCAACTCACACTGTTTCTCACCAACCTTCATAACTTCAATTTCAGTACGTAATTCTCTCAATTGTTCTTGCAAGTGTTTACTTTTCTCCCAATAGTCTACTCTTTCTTTTTCAATTTCCAATGAAAGCTGATCGACGTCTCCGTCAGCAATTAGGTCGTACGAAGTTAGGTCAGTTGGTAATGGTTCTGTGTCCAGCTGCAACGTCTGAAGATCAGCTTGCAAATCTGATGGCAGTACTTGGGTTGATGGAAATAGATTTGGCACTGGCTGTATAACAGAACATAAACATTACATTTAATTTTGGTTTCACAAGTTATACTTAATTCTAAAATTTTTATACTTACAGCTATAGTAGCAGTATAGGCATTCCTACTAAGAAATTCTAACAACTTTTCTTTCGCCTCTTTTTCTGCAATTCGTGCACGTAATAATTCATCTTTCAATTTTTCAGCTTCCGCTGCTCTCCTTTCTGATTCTTGCACTAATCTTTCTGTCAACAATTCAGCTTCCCTAGTTTTCCTTTCAAGATGAACCTTCTCCTCTTCTGTCTTCATATTGTTCAGTCGTATACGAGTGATTTCTTGTTCCGCTTCTGAAGCTTTTTGACTCAACAGCATCGCCTCTTCTTCTGCCACACGACTCTTCTCGGCTAAAAGGTCAGCGGTTTCTTCAGATCTCCTCTGTAACATAATTATTGTAATTAAAATATTATTGATGCGACTAAATATTTGCTCAATAACGTTATCTTACAAGTGCTTCATTTGCCAGACGAATTTCTTCTTGATACTGTAAAAGACGTTGTTCCATAGCTGCTTTCTCCCTTTCTGCTGCTTCTCGAAGTTGTTTCTCTCGCGCCAGTTTATTTCTTTCAATTTGTCTCCTAATAAAATAGAGTTATTAGTCACCAAGAGTTGCAAGGTACTATGAACTACATTTGAATTAATTGTTGCCTCTTGGAATATGCAAAAATAGTTTCGTATACTGACCTGGTTAAATATTAATTTAATATTTTTGCGCGTCAATTCCTACAAAACTTAAAACGAAAAAAGAAACGGGGTTGAAGGTGTTAGGATTGAGGATGTGCATGGGTTATAGGAGGCTCAATGAAATATAAAAAAGTCATTAATGTTAAAGTAATCATTTTCATATCAATTGGGTTTTTTTGTGTAAACTTTTTTTATAGCAACTAGAGAAGAAACAACAACTGTTAAATAAAGTGTTATTGAATCACATGCACACAATTATGTTGGTATAACAATGATATAAAAAGATATCTTCTATGCTGTTGTAAATTGTTTTCTTTCTTTAATTCCTATAGATGTTAGTAAAGTATTTTCTTAATGTACCGCATTCAAATTATTTGTGTAAATAACACAAATTGTAGAAATATTCAACCCACCTCCCAGCCCATAAAAATGATTTACAATGAAAATAAAAGAATGATGTGCCACAAACTTACCTAGATTTTTCTTCTTTGGCCTGGGCTTTCATCTGCTGCACCTCCATAGAGTCAGGCTTGCGTCTCCTCATAAACAGATCGTGGTTGCCGATACAGAGGTCCAGGATCTTAACAAATAATATGTGAGCAGCTTTGTCATTGTTATGATCGTCCAACCCTAAAGCTATCAAACCCTTCACCCAGCTGCCAACATCTGACTGTTTTTTTACCAGTTTATTCATGCGAACTTTCTGCGAGAAGAACACGAAGTTCGGCGACGTTTTCTCCACTGGTTTTATTACAAACTTCTTGTCGTCGAAGCTAATGTGCCGTATCTCCGACCATGTAAACGTAGTTTTTGGGGCCAACTTGTTTTCCTTTTCATAAATATTCAGTCCTAGGGCAGTGACTCCAAGCCAAAGATCAGTCTCTTTCTTGTTCTGAAATTTATCACTATAATTAATGATATTAAATAGGAAAGGAATAAAAGGAGACTGTCATATGGATCTTACTTACGCTAATAGGGAAGTAATTTACACCATACATGTCAAGATCCTGAGCAATTTTAAGGTATTCCATCTCAGCCTCGTCTCTAGACATTCCCCGGTGGTCTGCATACCAAATTTTGATCCGATCCTCCCACATTTCGGGGGTCATCTGATACTGATCGATAACTCTTTGTGGCAACAGGTCTTCACTAGCAAGCATTCCTGGACGGTATGAGACTTCATCATAGTCTCCGTACTAATAGTTATATAATGAATTAAAACTTTAAATAGTAGAACAAGTATTTTCTTAAGAAAACAAATTATTACCTTTGCTTGAACAGCATAGGAAGCTAATAATACGGATGCTTCTGGAGGACAATAAATATCCATGGAAAGGATGGCTTGTTTTACTTGAAGAAAGAATAAATGTTGTGTAACTTCTTGCACTAGTTCTTCGGCAACAGCTTCTGGATAAAACTTTGCGAGGAACATGAAAGGTGTTGTCGGTTGTTGAGAAATGCATTGATCTTGCACTAAAGAAACATTACTTATTATGTAACAATGAATACAACAGTTATGAATTCGGGAACTTTGACAGCTCCTGTAATTCACCTTTTTTATCTAATTTTAGCCATGATATGAATCCCTTGGCATCTTCATATTGGAGTCCAAAGTACCATGTTTCTCTTAATCCTATTGTACGGCAGACCAAATCAAACAAATCTCTTCCCGTTGATCTCCACTGAAAACAATGCAAATTTACAATCCTTGTTCACGTAACGTTTGGCAGCAGTGCGAAAGAAACTAACCTCTAAACTGAACTCCAATTCAGCGTCCAAAGTACAGACTTTAACGGGGAAAGATTTTCCGGACTTTTTCCTTCGAAATGGTGGCATTTTACTCTTCATTATGTTCACTCAACGTCACGAGAAAGAAGGCAATCAATATCGCAAAAAAATGGAAGAAAAAAATGAAAGCTCCTAAGATTATCGTAACACTTTGCTAGATATAAATGTTTATTTGGATTGAAAAATGCAGTAAATAAAATAATAGATAACCTTACCTACGCATTCGCAACATATTGACAAAATACATTGAAACGCGTAATAATAATTTTATCAGCTCGATCGTTGTAAAAAAAACCATAACAATTTTACGCGGAACTTTCTTGATCGAATCACATGGTGTTACTTTTTTCTTTATTAAAATTTCCTTTATAGAAAAAAAAAACAAAACCGTCTACTCTACATAAAACAACTCTGATGTTTCGAAACAGTTTATTACACTAATTTCAGCCAATTCGAGTAACTTCGTTTTGCACTCTGACTATATTGCCGATATAGATATTCTAACGTTCTCGTTCTGCAAGTTAAAATCTGCAATATCGATGGAGTAAATTAACCGTGAACAAGAGATACAATACATCCATTATACAATGTAAATTTCTGTCCTATAATTGGGGATTATTATAATGAAACGAGTGGAATAAAGAGCCCTTGCAATGTAACTTGGTAGTCAATATTGTTTGTTAACATTTCATGCATTTGAAAATATAAATTTTCGCGCGCTCTATAAAAAAAAATAGTGCACCTAGTGCCATCTAGACATCAATCCTCGAACTATCGAAACAAAGAATTACGTTTTTCTCTAAAAATAACGACTTTTAAGCCTTTCTGAGATGAGCAAAGCACTCTGTAACTCAAATAGAACATCAAGAATGCAATTTCAAAATAATACACATGTTAGAAACAAAAAATGAAAAATATTGCATTTCATGGACCTTAAAAAGCTCGGCCATCTAGCAGTGGAGGCTGGGAACTAATTCTACTGTGCACCGTTTATCGATTTCGGTAATTACGATTATTATCGATATAATTGAGGTACTGTTCATTCCCTTCAATGTCTGGAATATTTGTTGATGAGTTAAAGTGGAAATTTGAGATAAAAAAGTACAGAAGGGTAGGCCTCGTTATGCAACTTTTAATTACAATCGAATTGATTTCTTGTTTCCAAAAGTTTCTGTCACAACTTCATTAGCTAATCAACTTTTTCTCCAGATCATTTGATACACAAGTTGCAGCCCTCGGAGCAGTGATTTTTCAAGTAGTTGAAGGAAATGCAAATGAATCAGCTGTATGCTAATGAGCTCCTAACCTCATTTCTAGCTCTTTATAAGACACTGGAAACTGAATTTCAGGGAGCACTTATGTTGTGCTACTTTTTATGGGAACAGTGTGGTATGTTTTCTCGTTAATGAGAGATGCATCGATTTGAATGACGCTTACATGACTTCGTTTGAATTCATTTAGAAGCGCGCCAAATCTTACTGCGTGACAGCAAATTGACGAGCAGACGATATGGGATAAGTGTTTAATAAACATTTAATGAAACATTATAAATTAAAAGAGGAAAGAAGGAAGAAGCCATGGCGTACGAGCACAAGGCACAACGATGCTCTTAATTAAAATACGTCAGTTACTATCTTTATTCAATAAATATAATATTACATTGTAACATAAGGAATACCGTGGCGTGTAATTGTCCTCGTTTGCTTGACTGCCGGCAAACAGCTTTGCAAACAGCCCTAGCAAATATATCTCTACAAACGCATACCACACGTGCATCGACGTGTACACGTACACGTGTATACATAAACCATCTTTAATATAGATCTTTTTTTCTCTAGAGACAGCACAAACACGTAATATGTTACAATATCATTACAAGGACAGTCACGGTTTTCCGGCAATCATTTTCTCTATTTTCTCACTGTTCCTTCACGAATCTCATGGTGGTTTTATAGTCAACAACTATTTCAAACCTTATATGTTTCTTATTTTTGGTCACTCGAAGGAACATCTTTTTGCTGATCGACAAATCAATGTCCACTTTTTACTAAGCTCTAAAATAGTATGATAAAAAATTATCAAGTCCTATTTGATTACAATTTATAAAATGCAACGCATTTTATATATTTTCTAGTACGATGTCAGTAAACTGCCAGCATATTCCATTTGATTTTGAATTGTACAACAGTTATCGCTTACTAAAAATTAACAAACAGTTGCAGTAACATGGTAAAGAAGTTAAAATCATGCGTGAACTTAAAATCTGTTCATTTCTGTGACCAAAGAACATACGTTTCACCAGAGAGACAGAGGTCCAGCTATTGCCAGGCTCTAAAAACGCGACACACTTTATTTTCTCGCTAATTAGTCTAATATTTACAGGAGTCTGTCTTACAGCAAACGCCTTTACGCATTGTTCAGCCGGATACGCTTAGCAAAAGTAAAAAATAGGTACTTTCCAGCCGGTCAGGGCCGGCCACGAAACTAAATCGTGTCCCCACTAGAATTGGAAGAGCGTTGGAAGTCGCCAGAACAAATCTGGCGATGATTTTCCGGTCTGTCTCTGCTTCGGCTGCCCGAGGAGGAAGAGAGAGTCCCTCGTAAAACGTTTCACATATGAAAATAGGTGTATACGATTTACATTATATATTTTGCTATCACAATATACGGTCTAAGGTAAAGTGGTTTGATATGTACAATATTATATAATATTTATAGTATCTACATGGTGTTGTTTTCAGTCTGACCACTTGAACTGTTTCTCAAAGTAATAACCAGATTTGGGAGAAATTTATTATTGTCCTATATTGAGTAATTTCAAACGCTGAAGAGATTAAGGATTGGAAGTGACATTTTTACAATAAGCTTTTGATTAGAATTAGAGATCAAAGCATTCTAGGCTTCTCATATAGGAAATAGGGAAGATTTGAAAGTTACCAATATCTCAAAATTGTTTAATTTTTTAATTCTCGAATGTTCCCCCAATTTCTATGATTGTGAATTGGCAAGTGAGTGGTGGGGCTTTCTCTATGCCGCCATTTTCTTTAGGAAGCCTACTATGCTTGTCGCTATACAGATTACGTTACAAGAGAGATAAGTACAGGATAAAATCAGTTCCCTATAATTTTAGACTCCACGAAGGGATCAAAGAACAGACCCTATAACAATGGAGGTGTCAAGAGGTCAGGCTAAACGGAGCACCCTGTTCGTTCGCTTTTCTCGTGCATCTCGCGCGAGCCGAATCTCTACTTTTGCATCGATTAGGAGTCTGTGTAATGCACTTTGATTGTTTGATTGTGTCGTCAGTCTATGTTGGCGAACTTTCGAGACCCGTTCTCCACCGACTAAATTGAATCCACGTGACGGAAGAGATGCTCGAACGGGTTCACAGGTGGACAAGGAGGCTCGAAAGTGGCCAGAGCGAACCAAGTATTAGCTAATAGGCTGCTAAAATCGATAAGAGTGATTCGAGAGGCACGAGGAAGCTTGCAAGTAACGCGTGAGAACCAGAGGACAGCGGGTCTGCGCGGTTTCGTCTCTTTCCCTTCGACTCTCTCCTCCTAGCTCGTCGTCCCGGTCCTCGTCTAGGGAAACTCAACTGAAAAACGAAATAGAGTACAGTAGCCTGGTGTATGTGTGTGTGTGTATATACACTGAGGGTGTGGACAGATCGAACGTTCTCGTCTCGCTGGATCGCCAATTAATCTCACCACGGCGACGCGTCAAATATTTACACTGGAGGCTTCCCGGTTAAAACGCAAGGTAAAAAACAACGTGGAATTTGCGAGTGTCCTATGTAAACAGCCTAAAGTTCCAACGAATTGCACGCAGTTCCGAAGAGGTAGCATCTGCCAGGGGCAAGCAGATCGGCAGTGTCCTGTCCAGAAGGTAAAACGCTTTTGGACCGTAGGCGTCAGCTTCGCGAAGACTAAAACGATTTCCCGGCGGCGACCTTCACCCCGTCATTGGACGAAATTCACGTTGAACGTCTCCAATTCCATCGGCTTCAAGCTAACGTTTTGCAGGCCGTTCCTTAACCGGTGCATCATTTTGGTGCCCGTTAACGAGGTCTTGGTGATGTTCAGGTTCGGAAGTTTGAAGAACGACGTCCCTTGAGGGATCTTGTCCGTTAACGGGCAGTGCTTAAGACTGACATCCACCCCGACGGAACAGCTGTAACCCTGCCTGTGGAGCACCATCAGCGCGTTGTTTACCGGGAAGTGTGGCAGTTTCTGGTCGTGATTGGTCCTCAGATTGAGCAGGTGAAGGTCGCAAGGGAAACTCTGGCTCAGAAGCCTAACTTCCGGCACCATCGCTATGTCGCTGTCTGTCCCGTCCACCACGAAGATGTTCACAGGATAATTGAGCGCGTTGCTAAGGTGATTAGCGAACAGGGATGGCTTCGAGTACTTGTCCTTCTCCCCTGTAATGTCTTCAAGTAGCAGCCAATGTTTGATCACGGTTCTTCGATTGTCTAGCAGACCCTCCCCCATTCCTCGCGAGTCGTCGTACAAGGTTCTTCGATCGAGCATCACTTCTAGCCACCCAGGTTGATAACTGGCGGCTCCTTGACAGTGGTTCACCAACAGCGTCAGTCTGTGACTGGTGTCCTCGATGTAGGCCATCGTGGTTATGGGAAAGTAGTTACCCTCGATTCCGATCCTCTCTATCTTTGTCCTCTTGATCATCTGATGACCGTTTAAGTCCGTATAGAACTCTGGCGGGTCCCCGTTCAGAATGTCCGTTTGCAGACGCATGAACATTTCCGTTTCGCGGTTCTTCGGTGGCGTCTCGAAGTCCACTATGTTTCTCACATAGATAGCCTCGCCCAGACTGTCGTCTCTGTGGTAAATGGCCACGTGGTGCGTCAACAGTTTACCGTACTCGACGGTCAGCCGCGAACTGAGGCTACCGCTGACGATGTAGATCTTCTGGTGAGGCGTGTACGCTTCCAGAACGTCCTTGTCGGTGTCCCTCAGGTTCGGATCGGGCATGAAGAGGTATGCACCGCTGTGAAACTGCGCGGACGGATAGGCTGCGAACTGAATCGTGCACTGCATGATCTTCCCGGTCGCCTTTTTGGTCACTCTCTTCAGGAAACCGGTCTGTCCATCGAACAGCAGCTTCATTCGATGGTTCTCCAACTGAACATCTCCCACCTGCATAGGTTTCATGGGGAACACGTTGTCCTTGCCGCATCGACTGCAGTAGACCGTCGAGATGGCCTCCACCGGTACCTTGTCGATCTGCTGGATGTGGTAGGTGGCGATGGCCAGAGGTTTCAGTTCCACCACGAAGAGCAGCACGTACACGTCGTGCGTGATGCTCGTAGCGTTCATCACTGGTGCGATCTGATAGGGAATGGGATTCTTCTGCGGGTCCAGGACCTTGATCTTGTACGAGGTGACCTTCAGACTGATCACCTCCTGCCTGGGCTGGGCCAGAGGATTGAACAGGACGATCTTCTTCGTCTCCTGCCCGATTCCTATAGGTATCTTCTTTGGTAACTTCTCGTAGCTGTCTCTGTCCGACTCGGCCAGGACGTACACGGAGTTCGGCTTCGTGGTCGTGCCGGCCAGAGACTGAATAGCGAAGCTCTGGAGGCTGGTAGTGTCCGAGATAGACTCGAACAGTTTCAGAGCGTAATCCTTCATGACGAAGGACTTAGACGTGCCAGTGATAGCGTCGTGATGTTGGAACAGACCCAAATTCCGTCTGGCTTTCACCAGCTTCTCGAAGTACGTCTCGTACAACATGAAGTCCTTGCCGGACTGTTTGGCCACGTTTAACGCGATTGTGTACAGAATCTCCGCCGACCTAAGGTTCGCCTCCAGTTCGCGGTCCAAGATCTTCATGTACGGTCTCGTGGTGAAGTAGCCGCTCCAGTAGGCGGGTCTACCTTCGCTGAAGATGTCGGAGTAGACGAAGAAGTCACCCTTCAGCGTTGGAAACTCTTCCACCCGTTTTCTGATCTCTCGGAAGTAATCCTTGGGTGTGCCGAATACTATCTCAGCATTGTACTCCTCCTTCCGGCTATTTATGTAGTCCATGAGGATCTTGTAGTTGGTGTACTGTTGGTCCCACTCGATCGCGTGATCGTACCTGAAGCGAAGAGGACGTTAACTACTATCTCGGAAACAAGCTACTTCGCAAATGCAATAAACGGAACAAAGACAAAGGAATCGAGTTATCCTAACCTGAAATCATCCCCGAGAGGCATCAGCACGACGTTGTGCGTGAACAAAGATCCCGTCCTGGAGTACTGTTCCAGCAACAACTCGGCCATATGTTTGACATTGTTCGGCGTTATCTCGACCGCCCTGGCCGAGTACTCCGTGTACTCGCCCCGTATCTTCCGGAAGTCGAAGTTGAGACAGACGTGGGGATGAGGGCCGCACGAGTGCTTGATGTTGTAAATGTCGAACGGCTGATTGTGGGTCAGCATGTCCGCCTCCCCCGTCTGATCCCATGGCTGCATCCAAACGAAGTCGCCGTACTGCTTCTTGGCGAACCACTGCTTCCACGCGTAATGGATCCTCTGGATCACCGTGCCGGAAGCGCCGGAAACCTTCAGGAAGTACGGGATGGTTCCTCCGTGGCCGAACGGGTCCACCGACCAGCCGGACTCTGGGACGACGTCCAGGTTCGTCTTCAGCCATTGATGACCTGAAATGGTGAATCAATGATTTGAAGAAATTCTGGTGAAAGGCTAGGCAAATCTTTTGAGGGATTTGCAAGATGGATTTAAAGGAAGACACCGGGGTTGCACCTATAAATTAAAGGATCGACGCGGATGCTGGGAGCTGCATCTCGTTAAATTCACAGATAAATTGAATCCTCCGTTGAATTTCTCGGAGTTTCCGTGGAAGCGGAAACTCGTCCTTTGAGCGTCGCTCGCTCGTGTCTGATCGCGAAATATTTATCGTCGTGTAAACATTCTCGCGACGAGAGGTTCATTTAAAAACTCATGCTCCAAGGAACAAGAGTCCCCTGACAGGAGTTCTGCTCTGTCGAACCGGGTGACACCTCAATTTCGATAGCGGCCCTTCGTGGACCGACGGTTCCCTTGCATATTTACCGAGATAGCAGAAGCCCAGTTTCTATATATCGGAACGATGTTCTTGGAATTATTGATCGGGAGGATCAAGTAATTTGCACGGGCGAACGGACATTCGATAGGGCTCGATTTTCATCGGGAAATTGTGCCGGCGAGAAATTCGAGGAATTTGTATCGTTTAGGATCGCTATGTCACGAGTTCCCCTAATTCAGACTCGATTTCTCACTCTAGAATCTCGTTTCGATAGGTGGTCAGAGAGAACGGGCCCGGTAATCGGTGTCTATTTATCAGTTCTCACCCCTGAAGCATTCCTGGCCGGTCAGACTACCCTGGTTGACCTCGTGCAACAGGAGCCGAGTTAATTCAGATTCGTTACCACAAGACGGACTGCGTGGAGGATTTACTACTTCATTTATTGGAATCACTAATATTTAGAAGAAGGTGACATCTTTATATGGTGTGCTTTTGGACATCTGGGTGATCTGGATGCAATTAGGATGTGGAGTGAACTTATGAACTTATGTGGAGTGGACTATGTCTTCAATGGTCATGAAGGTACTCATCAAATTTAATACTTAAATTCATAGTGATAGCTGGAGTTCACAGATGTACAAGTTTATCTGATGTTATTTTACAGGTACTATTAGGATTCTCATGTGGAGGGGACTAGGATCTCAATGGCTATAAAGGTAGTCATCATATTTAATACTTAAATTCATAATGATAGCTGGAGTTCAGAGATGTACAAGTTTATCTGATGTTATTTTACAGGTACTATTAGGATTCTCATGTAGAGTGGACTAGAACCTCAATGGCTATAAAGGTACTCATCACATTTAGTACTTAAATTCATAGTGATAGCTGAAGTTCACAGATGTACAAGTTCATCTGATGTTATTTTACAGGTACTATTAGGATTCTCATGTGGAGGGGACTAGGACCTCAATGGCTATAAAGGTACTCATCACATTTAGCACTTAAATTCATAGTGATACCTGAAGTTCACAGATGTACAAGTTTATCTGATGTTATTTTATAGGTACTATTAGGATTCTCATGTGGAGTGGACTAGGAACTCAATGGCTATAAAGGTACTCTTCACATTTAGTACTTAAATTCATAGTGATAGCTGAAGTCCACAGATGTACAAGTTCATATGATGTTACTTCATTGGTGCAATTAGGACTTTCATGTGGAGTGCAAGAGGTCCTCAATGGCCATTAAGATACTCAACAGTGAGTCATAGTTGAAGTCCACAGATGATGTACAAGTTCACCTGATGTTACTTCATGAGTACAATTAGGATTCTTATGTAAAGTGACAAGCTCCTCAATGCCTATTAAGATACTCAACAATGAGTCATAATTGAACTCCACAGAAGATGTACAAGTTCACCTGATGTTACTTCATGAGTACAATTAAGATTCTTATGTGAAATGACTAGCTCCTCAATGCCTATTAAGATACTCAACATTGAGTCATAGTTGAAGTCCACAGAAGATGTACAAATTCACTTGATGTTACTTCATGAGTACAATTAGGATTCTTATGTAAAGTGACTAGCTCCTCAATGCCTATTAAGATACTCAACATTGAGTCATAGTTGAAGTCCACAGAAGATGTACAAATTCACTCTTCATGAGTACAATTAGGATTCTTATGTAAAGTGACAAGCTCCTCAATGCCTATTAAGATACTCAACATTGAGTCATAGTTGAAGTCCACAGAAGATGTACAAATTCACTTGATGTTACTTCATGAGTACAATTAGGATTCTTATGTAAAGTGACAAGCTCCTCAATGCCTATTAAGATACTCAACAGTGAGTCATAATTGAACTCCACAGAAGATGTACAAGTTCACCTCATGTTACTTCATGAGTACAATTAGGATTCTCATGTAAAGTGACTAGCTCCTCAATGCCTATTAAGATACTCAACATTGAGTCATAGCTGAAGTCCACAGAACATGTACAAGTTTACTTGATGTTACTTTATTGGTACAATTAAGAGTCATATGTAGTAGGCTAGGTCTAAAATCATCATGAATATTCATTGTAATTCTTCATAACTTATGTCATTTATCATTCATGCCTAAATACTTCATTACATTATTATTAATTTTACAGACAGTAATAACTGAAGCAAAAGAAACAATACAATTTTGGAATCAATTTGAATGCAGCAAGCATATTGCAGCTCCTATGCAAATGCAGCCATGGTCTCAGAATCGATAGAAACCAGGACATTAACGTAAATCCAGAGAAACGTTGTACTTAGCCTCAAAGTAGCCCATGGTGCAGCATGCTGCATCCACGACAATGACGTTAACACGCGCGCTTAGCTGCATCCTGGTGGCTGGCTATACACAAAGTGCATCTGCCGCTTGTTGTTGGGTGCATCCTCTCTACGCGGGAAGGATTCTGTACGCGAATCGAGCTCCCAGGGAATTTCGGGGACGCGTTGCTCGAAAATGATTGCATTAGCGAAATAATTGAAGCTGTCCTACTCCGCACGCGTGGCCGTTCTCCCTGTCTTCGTAATTACCTGATACAACGTGGCGAGGATGAGAAAATGAAATTGCGAGGGGTGGTACTTGCTGTTCAGGAAATTAAAAGCGAAACGCGTTGTTGTCAAACGATTTTAACAGATTGCAGATTGACGGTCCAAGTAGATTAGGATCTAAGTTTCGACCTAACTTATTAATGGAATTAAGAGCTTGTGGACTGACTCTTGGATGTGATACTTTGATTTAGATCCTAGATGCTACATCTGGATTTAGGTATCTTGTACTGTAATGTGGACTGGCCCTTAGATGTGATGTCAGGATGTGATACTCTGATCTAGATACTACATCTGGGTGTAGACCTCTTGTACTGTCATATGAACTAGCTCTTAGATGTGAGACTTTGATCTAGATCTTAGATACTACATCTGGGTGTAGACTTCTTGTACTATAATATGGACTGACTCTTAAATGCCAGGAGCATAGGATGTGATATTTTGAGTTAGGCTCCAGATACTAGATCTGGGTGTAGTCTTCTTCTACTATAATATGGACTGACTCTTAAATGTCAGGAGCATGGGAGTGATATTTTGAGTTAGGCTCCAGATACTACATCTGGGTGTAGACTTCTTGTACTATAATATGGACTGACTCTTAAATGTCAGGAGCATGGGAGTGATATTTTGAGTTAGGCTCCAGATACTACATCTGGGTGTAGACTTCTTGTACTATAATATGGACTGATTCTTAAATGTGAGGAGCATGGGAGTGATATTTTGAGTTAGGCTCCAGATACTACATCTGGGTGTAGACTTCTTGTACTATAATATGGACTGACTCTTAAATGTCAGGAGCATAGGATGCGATATTTTGAATCAGGCTCCAGATACTAGATCTGGGTTCAGACATAGATCCACACCTAAATTCAAGTTCACAGTAAATGTGGATTTGTCATTGTAGTGGTCTCGCTAGACACCAGGGTGTCTTTAGTAGCCAGACATAATGATCATGGGAAAACTGTGGACTATGAGCATTTGCAATGGACATGTCCTATAACGTTCTGCAAGCGGGCGCTATACGCAGCGATGGTTTACAGGAGAATGCAGTAGTTATTAACGGAATAAAAGCTCGTTTCGCCGGCGGTCGCTTTCATTAACAGCGTTCAAATCGTTCCATGTCGACAGACTGCATCCCGATTTCCGCGCGTCGCTCGGGGCTGCTATTGTTTCAGGCAAATCGCGTTTGCAAAGGGGTGAAGCCATCCAATTCGCGAATCGGCCATTATTGTTATCCACCGATTTTGTTCCGGTTTTTACAAACAGTTTCAGCTCTCTCCATTAGAGCGCAATTGATTGGCACGCGCGAAAAAAATAGATTCTAAGCTTAAACGTTATGAAACACAAATTGGATAGCTTCGAAAAGGCTCGAGTCGAAGAAATCAATTAACAGGAATTCCGTCTGCTGCGCAAATGAATAACGACCGCGGTGCTTAAACATGACCAGCTCGAAACTAATTCGAGTTTCCTAATGTCCGGTGTGCCCGCAATTTCGGCCGAGTGTTCCCGGTATTTTCGATTCCGAACGAGCGAGCGTGCTCAAAATCGTTCGAGCATGCTTAAACATCAGCGTCCACCACTGTCGGATTGTTACCGGTCCGTTAGCTCCGAGGATTCAGCAAGCATTCGCCAAGTGATCGGTGGTCGCTGCTTGTAGCTACGGAAATTGCGTCAATTATTCGAGGAAGCCAGCCTCTGCTTCGCAAATTGCTGGTTCCTCGTTGGCCCCGGAGTGCCCGCATTTGTGCACGCGCTTGGAAGAAGATTCGTCGAGCATTGAACTAGTGGACACGCTGAATCGATTGCGCAGGATCAATGGAAATGAATTTTGTGATGACTGGCGATGCTGTATGTCGACATTTTAATCTGCGGTACTTTAAAACTGCTCTAATAGGACTTAACATTTTGGCCGAAAATTGGGAACGTTCCTGCTTTCATCATATGTGGACCTCCATCATATGTGGATCTAGTAATGTGTTCAAAAATGGTTCATTGTGGACAACATACTATTCTGCTTTCATCATATGTGGACCTAGTAATGTGGTCCAATAATGATTCATTGTGGACAACACACTTTCTTGCTTTCATCACATGTGGACCTCCATCATATGTGGATCTAGTAATGTGTTCAAAAATGGTTCATTGTGGACAACATACTTTTCTGCTTTCATCATATGTGGACCTAGTAATGTAGTGCAATAATGATTCATTGTGGACAACACTTTCTTGCTTTCATCATATGTGGACCTCCATCATATGTGGATATAGTAATGTGGTTCAAAAATGGTTCATTGTGGACAATATACTTTTCTGCTTTCATCATATGTGGACCTAGTAATGTGGTCCAACAATGATTCATTGTGGACAACACTTTCATGCCATCATCATGTGTGGACCTTTATCATATGTGAATCTAGTAATGTGGTCCAACAATGGTTCATTATGGACAACATATTTCCATGCTCTCATTATTATGTGGATCTAGTAATGTGGTCCAACAGTAGTCCCTTGTGGGCAATACACTTTCTTGCTTTCATCACATGTGGATCTCCATCATATGTGGATCTAGTAATGTGGTTCAACAATGGTTCATTATGGATAACATATTTCCATGCTCTCATTATTATGTGGATCCAGTAATGTGGTCCAACAGTAGTCCTTTGTGAGCAATACACTTTCTTGCTTTCATCACATGTGGACCTCCATCATATGTGGATCTAATAACGTGGTCCAACAATGGTTCATTATGTACAACATATTTCCATGCTCTCATTATTATGTGGATCTATTAATGTGGTCCAACAGTAGTCCCTTGTGGGCAATACACTTTCTTGCTTTCATCACATGTGGACCTCCATCATATGTGGATGTAATAATGTGGTCCAACAATGGTTCATTATGGACAACATATTTTCATGCTCTCATTATGTGAATCTATTAATGTGGTCCAACAGTAGTCCCTTGTGGACAATACACTTCCAGCTTTCATCACATGTGGACCTCCATCATATGTGAACCCATCAACATGGTCCATAAACACAGCGCACATGTCTAATCGAGTTAAACCTCGCCTAACCCGGAGTTCATTAATTTCTGAATGGAAAAATGCAGTGAAAGAAAAATAGTAGAGTCGAGGTACTTAGATGTAGACAGAGGTGAACGAGTCTGAGAAACGTGGAAAAGTAAGAGGTTAGGTGGAAGATTAAGGGGTAGGGGACAGGGAGGTAGAGAGATGGAAGGGTGTGGCACTGCCTAAGCGAACAAACCATTAAACTACATTCAGCCGGTGCTCGACTGATTATAACTCATTAGACACGACATGTATGCATTAAGCGAGTTATCGCGCTCGTAGACCACCCCTACTACGCGATCGAGGGTGCAGCAATGGCTGATGCGAAGGGGAGGCTTGTTCGAACCTTTGCACCCGACTCTAATACCAACTTTGCACCCTAATCTAAGTCTATTATTTTCGAATTAATTAAAACCTGATTAATTTCAATTACTGGAAACAACCACTGAATATTCAACCCCCAAATTCTACCTCGATATTAGTCAATATTTCAAAGAACTAAAATTTATCCAACCGTACAATGTAATCTGAGTTCAACCTGATTAAGAGGGTGAATTCGTCTACGAATGTCTGTAAGGAAAAAGAGCGAATGGTGGAAAGCTTGACGCGGTCCTGCATGGAAGAGAAGAATGAAACGAAGGATAAAGGGGCAAAGTTGAGACTAGAAATCTGGGTGGAAAGCACGGAGTAGATTGAACGGGATAACGAATCAACGTTTTAAACGTTCCTCGAGAACGTTTGGACCTTCGTTTCACGTAGTTTCCAAGTTCGTTCGGGGCCAAGTATCGTTAAAGGCCGGCTTTTCGCGGAAACTCGACGACTAATTCTCGACCCTCGTGAAATCGACGGGAACACATCGAAGGGAAACCTTTTAAAGGTGGCAATTTGATGGCGAGTGGAAGTAATTCGTCGACCTATAAAGCTTCCTCTTCTTTTACATCTTCTGTCATTTTCCTGCCGTTGAGCTTACACAGTATTTTCGTTAATATTTTGCGACGTAAAATATCGTTACATTCGCGCGGTAATTACACGCGCCGTAATTCCATGCGCCGTAATTCCATGCGTAGTACTCCCACGCGTAGTACTCCCGCGCGTAGTACTTCTACGCGTAGTATTCTCCACGCGCCGGAGTTCCACGCGCCGGAGTTCCACACGCCGGAGTTCCACGCGTGGTACTTCCACGCGTGGTACTTCCACGCGTCAGTACTTCCACGCGTAGTATTCTCCACGCGCCGTAATTCCACGCGACGGAGTTCCACGCGTGGTACTTCCATGCGTGATACTTCCACGCGTCATATTTCCATGCGTAGTACCTCCACGCGCCGTAATACCACGCGTAGTACCTCCACGCGTAGTATCTCTACGCGCCGTAATTCCACGCGTCGGAGTTCCACGCATGGTACTTCCACGCGTAGTACTTCCACGCGTAGTATCTCCACGCGCTGTAATTTCACGCGCTGGAGTTCCACGCGTCATATTTCAATGCGTAGTACTTCCACGCGTAGTACTTCCACGCGTAGTACTCCCGCGCGTAGTACTTCCACGCGTAGTATTCTCCACGCGCTGTAATTCCACGCGACGGAGTTCCACGCGTGGTACTTCCATGCGTGATACTTCCACGCGTAGTACTTCCACGCGTAGTATCTCCACGCGCCGTAATTCCACGCGCTGGTGTTCCACGCGTCATATTTCCATGCGTAGTACCTCCACGCGCCGTCATTCCACGCGTAGTACTTCCAAGCGTAATACCTCCACGCGCCGTAATTCCACGCGCCGTAGTTCCACGCGTGATACTTCCACGCGTCATATTTCCATGCGTAGAACCTCCATGCGCCGTAATTCCACGCGCCGTAGTTCTACGCGTAGTATCTCTACGCGTCGTAATTCCACGCGCCGGAGTTCCACGCGCGTTACTTCCACGCGTTATATTTCCATGCATAGTACCTCCACGCGCCGTAATTTTACGCGCCGTAGTTCCACGCGTGGTACTTCCACGAGTGGGTAAATTGACAACCGAAGACGAGGGACGAGATAGGAACAGCTGATACCCTGGGATCGAACGTGTAATTTCGTTGAAATTCATATTTCTTGAAAATAATTTATGTAGAAAGTTTCTTTTTTGTATCAGTGCATCCACTTGAATTCGTAACGAAAGAAAATTCGCGTGTCTGACCTTAGAATGTTAATGTCACTGGGTATCGTCTGACTAGACGCGTGTCGCTACTACTTACTCCGTCCGATCAATCGCGAGCGTCGACCTCTACTACTGACAGTGGATCGTCTAGCGAAGCGTCGCATTAGTCAGACGGAAAGGGCTTGCTGGCAAACGGAAGGATAATAAATACGGCACGCCACTTGTTGCTCTTATTTCCCGCGGATCGAAGATACTTCTATTCCCTGGAGCTCTCAAAGAGCACTCTATGCACTCTGCGAGATAAATGAAACATAAATTCGAACGTTTCCTGATATCCATTATCGTGGATCTTTGAAAATATCTCCTCAGGATTTATAAGTACCATTAGACCTAATATTTATCTTATCGCTAATGAATATCAGATCTCTAAAGATCTGCGATTCCTAACTCAACATTGACAACCCTAGCTGATATTTTTAGGAAGTTAATCCTTAGACTGCAGATGCAAACATTTACCATGAAGATGATCTTATCATAGCACCTTGCATTATTATAAATTTATGAGTTTGCGGTTGTGAAATTTGATAGAATACTTAACGTGAAATTATGGCGCATGGAATTACGACGCGTGAAATTAGGAAGCAGAAAAGAACACAGCGTGGAAGTATTGAACGTGAGATTATAACGCGTGAAATTACAACGTGTGAAATTACGACCCCTGATGTTACAACGCGTGGAATTTCGATGCTTGATATTACAACGGGTGTAATTAGTAAGCAGGGAAGAACACAGTGTGGAATTAATAAACGTGAAATTATAACGCGTGGAATTACAACGCGTGAGATTACAACGCGTGAAATTACGACGCCTGATATTACAACGCGTGGAATAATTAAGCAGGGAAGAACACAGCGTGGAAGTAGTAAGCAGGGAAGAACACAGCGTGGAATTAATAAACGTGAACTTATAACGCGTGGAATTACAAGGCGTCAAATTACAATGCGTGAAATTACAACGCGTGAAATTACGACGCCTGATATTACAACGCGTGAAATTAATAAGCAGGGAACAACGCAGCGTGGAACTAATAAACGTGAAATTACAACGCGTCAAATTACGACGCCTGATATTACAACGCGTGAAATTATTAAGCAGTGACGAACACAGCGTGGAAGTAGTCGATCTAGAAGCTCCAGAATTCGTCAGTTCGCACCTCTTTAAGCCGATGAATTGTTGAAACTCCTAGCGTGCGAATCTAATGAATAGCTCAGCCGATTTCATCCAGAAACGTGAATGTTGCAGGAATCGAATCGATTACAGAGATAACGAGAGCTCGAGTCGTTAGCTGCCGCTAATTTCCAGCAGGATCTACGAAAACGAGCGAGCTACACGTGGATGGACCGGTAATGGACTCGTGCCGTTGCACTTCCGGTTATTACCGAGCTTCCTGCGCATTCTAGACGCCGGATCGCGTGGTTATCTCGATTTCTGCAATTGTCGATAGCCGCGTCACTTATCTGCGACGCTTAATCCACTGACTCGAGCGTCCCTCTAATCTGGGGTCGTTAGCGTCCGAGGCTTTTTTCCGCGGATAAATATAAGAGGGGAGCATAAATTCATCTCCCACGAGATAGGATAATTAATTCGCGGTTCAGACAGCATGGTATCTCCCGATTTCCACCGGTAAACAATGGACCGCTTCATTATCGCCGAGCCATTGTCTTTGCGTGTACCGACTATAAATCAATCGTTTCATTGATCGTTCGGCCACGATTGGTATTAGACACGTTCACGCTCGTAAATTACGATCCTCCGTTTATTCCTGACAGCAGGATTTATCGCGCTAAGAGACATCGGTACAATTGTCTTTCGACCACCCTTGATCTTTTGATCCTCCTTCTATGGGTAACATTGATATTGAATCAATTCTATAAGTTCGGATTCTCGGTGTGGTGCTGTAACTTCAAGCGCTTTAACTCCACGCTTGGTAATTCCATGCGGTATAGTTTCACGTTCGATAGTTACACGCTGTGTTCCTTCCTGCTTACTAATTTCTCGCGGTGTAATATTAGGCGTCGTAATTCCACGCGTTGTAATTTCACGTTTATTAGTTCCACGCTGCTTTCTTCCCTGCTTATTAATTCCACGCGTTGTAATATCACGCGCTATATCGCCAGTATTAGACACGTTCACGCTCGTAAATTACGATCCTCCGTTTATTCCTGACAGCAGGATTTATCGCGCTAAGAGACATCGGTACAATTGTCTTTCGACCACCCTTGATCTTTTGATCCTCCTTCTATGGGTAACATTGATATTGAATCAATTCTATAAGTTCGGATTCTCGGTGTGGTGCTGTAACTTCAAGCGCTTTAACTCCACGCTTGGTAATTCCATGCGGTATAGTTTCACGTTCGATAGTTACACGCTGTGTTCCTTCCTGCTTACTAATTTCTCGCGGTGTAATATTAGGCGTCGTAATTCCACGCGTTGTAATTTCACGTTTATTAGTTCCACGCTGCTTTCTTCCCTGCTTATTAATTCCACGCGTTGTAATATCACGCGCTATATCGCCACGTGTAGTAATTTCCATGCGTAGTAACTTCCACGCGTTATATCGCCACGCGTAGTATTTTCCACGCGTTCTTTCGCCACGCGTCGCAATTTCCACAATTAATTCCACGCGTTGTAATATCACGCGTTATATCGCCACGTGTAGTAATTTCCACGCGTTATATTGCCACGTGTCGTAGCTCCCACGCACTGTATCGCCACGCGTCGCAATTTCCACGCGTTATATCGCCACGTGTACTAATTTCCACGCGTAGTAGTTTCCGCGCGTTATATCGCCACGCGTCGCAATTTCCACGCGCTGTATCGTCACGCGTCGCAATTTCTACGCGTTGTAATTTCCACGCACTGTATTTCCACATGTCGTAACTTCCACGCACTGTATCGCCACGCGTTATATCGCCACGTGTAGTAATTTCCACGCGTTGTAACTTCCATGTTCTATATTGCCATGCATCGTAATTTCGTGGCAATACATTATTTCATAACGTAATACGCATAAAAGTAAAATTTTTGTAATAATTCTAACTCGATGTCCAAGGACCGTAGAATACGACAAAAAGAAAGAGATCCATCTTCGTTTATTCCGCTCGAATAACGAACGTCTTATTTATTCTTTTCGAGACGTAGCAGTATTTCGAAGAAGCAAGCTGAAACTCGGTTATTTCCGACTCTGGTACGGGGAAAATCGTATTTAAAAAAATACGGACAGGGACTTAATTGCGTTTCGCGAAAGTAATCGTCGTTGTTTTTCTCCCGGGGAAATAAAGTGTCGCGGGATTTCCTTTGTGTTTCCAGAAACAAACGTCCCTGGTTTCTTCAGCCAGGAACATCTGTTTGCTTTTAGAGAAAACCCTGGGTTTAACCAAATATTGGCCATGTTTCTGGTAACTAAAAACGTCAACTTAGATAACGCTATTTATTTTCGTCTCTCATTTGTCTCATATTTAGAATCGCTATAATTATCCCGCTGTAAATCTGCTCAGTTTTATCTTAGTTCGAGTTTTATATTTAAGTCTTCTTTGTTGGAGTCTTCTATATTTAACAAATTATTTATAATTTCTAGTATAAAACGGTAGGATGTTATCAAGTTATACAGCAAAGTGTAATCAAGGCAATTAAATCGAATACATTTTTAATTAATTGAAGAAGAATCACGAGTAGTTTATCATAGCATAGTGAATTATTATAAATTTATAAGTTTGCGAGTGTGAAATTTAATAGAATACTGAGTGTGAAATTGTGACGCATGGAATTAGGATGCCTGATATTCTAACGCGTGAAATTAGTAAGCAGGAAGGAATACAGCGTGGAAGTACTGAATGTGAGATTATAACGCGTGGAATTACGACGTTCGATATTACAACACGTGAAATTAGTAAGCAGGAGAGATCATAGCGTGGAAGCGGTGGACGTGAAACTATAACGCGTGGAATTATGACGCTTAATATTACGACGCGTGGAATTACGGCGCGTGAAATTAGTAAGCAAGAAAGATTATAGCGTGAAAGCAGTGAACGTGGAACTATAACGCGTGGAATTCCAGTGCGTGGAATTACGGCGCGTGGAACTATGCCACATGGAATTCCAGTGCGTGGAACTATGGCGCATGGTATTCCAGTGCGTGGAATTACGGCGCGTGGAACTATGGCGCATGGTATTCCAGTGCGTGGAATTACGACGCGTGGAACTATGGCGCATGGAATTCCAGTGCGTGGAATTGCGACGCGTGGAATTATGGCGCATGGAATTCCAGTGCGTGGAATTACGACGCGTGAAACTATGGGGCGTGGAACTATGGCGCATGGAATTCCAGTGCGTGGAATTGCGACGCGTGTAATTACGGCGCATGGAATTCCAGCGCAGTCGCGAGAGCGACAGCTTGTAGCCCACTGCCTAATTAATTCAACAAACGTGAAAAATGCTGAAAATACTAACTACAAATAAAAAAGCAGAGTACAAAAAAGTAGTCGGAAGCGTATAAATTTGTAAACGATTGGAAACGTTGGCCCGTTCATCCAATAACGATCGGTGTTCTATTGATACAATGCTTGACCCGGTATTAACTTCCAATTATTAGGCTTTTGAATATGTATGCAGCCCGTATGCGCTTAGGATGTTAAATTTCCGGGTCAAACATGGTCAATATGCATGGCTCGTAGCCATTATAGACCCCATCGGTATATCTATCGGCAAATATTTCGCGTTCGGATACATCAATATGAAAATCCGTGTTATCTTGTTTCAAGGATCCGTGAATTTGTTCTGCAAAACGCATTCAAAAAGCCATTCACATTTTTTTATGGACTCTTTTGAACGATCAAACAATTATCCAAAGCATTGCTCTTTCATTCACAATTTTTTAGCGTTCAAGTAACTTTTTAATGCAAAAAGGCTCACCTTCGATCAGTTGATCCAACATGGCGTAGATGTGAGATGTCGCCTCGTCCGTCATTACCCAGCCTCCCGTGGTCATTTCTAGCCTCCCGTCTTTCACTAGCCTCTTCACGACCATTTTCTTCGTTGGATGGGCACTGGGGATACATAAAAACAGCTGCAAATTTCGGTAAATATTCTTTAGGGACTTAGGGAAAAATAGATTAACCCTGGAGACTACAGGGTTTCTTAGGCTCCAGAGTTTGGCACTTACTCCTTGAGGCTTTAACAGTAACCTCAAGGACTTCACAATAATCATAGTAATCTAGAAGAATCTTGAAACCTACAAGGTAGTCCTAGTGAAGTATTCATTGCCCCCAATGAAATCTTAGTATACACACAGGTATTCCAAGAAAGAGAGTGTCTAAGACAATTGCAGTGGAATTACGACGCGTGGAACTATGGCGCATGGAATTCCAGTGCGTGGAATTACGACGCGTGAAATTATGGGGCGTGGAACTATGGCGCATGAAATTCCAGTGCGTGGAATTACGACGCGTGAAATTATGGGGCGTGGAATTATGGCGCATGAAATTCCAGTGCGTGGAATTACGACGCGTGATATCACGAATTGTCGAGCCTTGTAAAAAGAACATCATAAACATTATTACTATACGCAGATAATTGTAAATTAATTTAAAAAATTCAGTTCAGCTTTGATCAGCGTATTCTTTCAGAACGATACAAAATTTATTCGTTAGCTTAAAATTGTGAATTGTAAATTATTTCTTCATTTTACATGTACATTTTATGGTGATCCCACATTTCGTACTTTACAGAATTAATTCCAGTGCGTGGAATTACGACGCGTGTAATTGCGGCGCGTGGAACTATGGGGCATGGAATTCCAGTGCGTGGAATTACGACGCGTGTAATTGCGGCGCGTGGAACTATGGGGCATGGAATTCCAGTGCGTGGAATTACGACGCGTGTAATTGCGGCGCGTGGAACTATGGGGCATGGAATTCCAGTGCGTGGAATTACGACGCGTGTAATTGCGGCGCGTGGAACTATGGGGCATGGAATTCCAGTGCGTGGAATTACATTCCAGTGCGTGGAATTACGA